CAACTACTCTACTCAAACTACTGTAGTTTAACTACTCTTTCGAGTAACTTGGTAACTTTCAATTACAACTTGATTTGGGTAATTAGTAGTTTAATTTAACTACTTTTTTCAGCTAACTTCTACTCAAATTACTAACTACTTTCGAAATTATATAGTGCTAAATTTGCCCATCACAAAAGTTTGAGCGCAGAAATGAATAAGACGCCGGCAAATAAGGTGGCATTCCCGAACAAGGGGCCCCCTTGTTCTGGAAGGCGTCCTTGGGCCAAGGTGGCGACGAGCAGCCAAAGTATAACACCGGCACGCACGAACGCAGGAAGAGATGCTTAACAAGCCTTGGTTGGGTATTGACCTAATCGGTAATGCACGCAGGCGCCGCGTTTCCAGCTGCAACCGTGAAAGACGGGGACACTCCGAGAGTTGTTGTTTTCGTGTTGTCTCTCTGACTCAAGCAGTAGGTTCCACGGGAGGCGCCACTGGAATGACCTCGCAGCTGAACGCCTGTTCCTAAGGTCGCCTTGTCGTCAGCGCATACGCCTTTGCAAAGCCGGACTCCCCCGCGCACAAACCCTGGCACGGATAATCCGTTCATGGGATTACGTTCCCGCTTCCATGCTTGTTCACGTAATCCTTCGCGTCCTTCCGACCATCCATGCCTGGGAGACCTCTTTGTTAAAAACGATTTACTTGTCAGGTGTGTCAGGCGCATCAGAATATTGTAGTCGCCGGCGAGGATTGCGAGTTACCCTTGGGAGATCATTTTGTTGGACCCGGCGTCAGCGGCGAAGTATACTACTTTTCATCTTCTGTTAAACCAAAATATTTTTTTTTTTTTTCAGTAGCGTAGCACTAGCATTACAACAGGACGCGCAGTCGTCCGGATGATCTCGTCGTCGTGGCGCGAGACTTGAACCATTGACGGTCTGGTGCACTCGCTCGGCGTACTCTCAGAATGACGTCGGGATAAAGAGGGGCCAGTCATAACAATCTCGACTTGACGAAGAAAAAAGAAAAAAAAGGAGGAAAGTTTGTTATAAAAGACCCTCCGAGGCAAACCTCACGTGTTTAGTCATGGGCACCTAAGATGCCGACACTCGCTTACCCGACCCTGCACAGCCTGTTTCTCAAATTCAACGCTGGCGTTCCATCCAGCCCGTCGGTGGAACGTCTATTTAGCTTGGCTGGGGACGTCCTTAGAAGGAAAAGGGGAAAACTCTCCTATCAAGAACTTTGAAAGTCAATTGCTTCTGCGAGCGAATAAACTATTTTGGCGAAAACGCAAGCCATAAATCGACTGCATTCATCTTAGGCTCGCAGGGTTTTTCATTGATCAAAACTGCTGTTCATTTTGCTACCACAAAAATACAAAAAAGTAACTTCGAAAGTAACTTCAAAGTAACTCGCTACTTTTTTACAGTAGTTAGTAGTTTACTCAATTACTATTACAAATGCGTAATTTCTACTCTACTCCAATTACTTTTGGCGTCGATACTCAGTAACTTAACTTAACTACCTTTTTTGAGTAATTTGTACATGTCTGGTAAATCGTTTTCAAAGGCCCGCTGCCACTTCAGGCGCGCGCTTCAGAGAATGCATCGAAGTGGCAGCGCGAGCTCCCGCTAAATATAGCGTGGCCTGAAAACATAGTCTGCTAGAGTTCTTCAATAATTTGTGCTCGCTCCTAGAAAACAGAGACGTTCTAGAAGATGCCCGCGCCTGATACATCGTTTTCTTTTCCATCGATCCCAATTTTGAGGCAGGTTTGAGCGTGATAAGCCGTTTTTTCTTGAAGATGGAATGTTTTGTGAAGATGTGAGTCATCCTTACATATTCAAGTCACCACTTCTCGCGCATGTCTTTTGAGCTCCTTGATCAACCGAAAATATCTATGAAACGTTCCTTCAATGGGTGCGGGGATGCATCGCAGCTCTCAAGTATGCGTTTACTTTGCCACGGGCTAAACTAAAGACCTTCGAAAGCGGCAATTCGGTGACTGCGCGGGCGCAGCCTTGCAGCTCCGTAAAACCGACACCCGAGGAGCTAGGCTTGGTGAGCGCCAAAAAATGGGGCAGATTACGCGATAGAAGCTGAAGCTACCTCTAACTCACGAGGTCGCTGCTGCCCGTCGCTGCTGCCCATCGCCCGTCGCTCAGAATGGGGATTTTCTCGGCTTATCCTCTCAGAAGAATCCGCCGCAAAAGGGGACCTTTCCCCTCGCCTCGCCGTGCTACAATACAAGAAGAAAGAGGGCGAGGAGGACTTTCCGCCAGGCGGAAGAATATTTCTGCTGGTCCTCCTTTAAGGAACGAAATTCTTTCAGTAACCGGAACCGGAAAGAAACCGTTATTTGAAATTTGTTAAAACTTTAACTGTAACCGTAAATTATTTACCGGTAACCGATATTAACTGACATTAACCGAAAAATCTAAATATTACTTCTGAAAAATAACCTCGAGGAGAGATCATGAAATGTCGTGGCCATTTGAGAGAGTTACCGCCAGCGAACGGTACATATTGTATGTAATACATTTCCGTTCAATCTAAATTTAGGATTAAGAATACTTAGTTGGAATCAGTGGTCAACCTAATAACAAAAAGTTTATTTCTAAATCTGCCACTCCTAAACTCGTCACATGTATTAGCAAGTGTGCCCTTCAGGGTATTAACTAATATTTCTGAGATGTCCATCCAACTCGGTTCCTTCAAAACCACCGATATTCCAGACCTGCAGTAGCCAGTATGAAGAAACAAGGTAAATTGAATATCATGCAGAGCTGGCAGAAAACAAACCATGCTATTCATTTCGTCTGTGACATACTGTCGTTCGTTCTTTTAACATTTGTCGGTTTGTAGCTCTGAACTCCACCACCGACGTATGGCCTCGGTTCTCTACAGGAAAGATAATCATCTTGCGCGTACGCGAGTAGGGAAAGGTAGAGGGATTTCTCATTGCTGCCAGTCGCCTCCTGGAACTCTCGTGGCCAGCGTAACTTAAAAATTCGATAACTTTAAGGAAAAATTTGTCTTTATAAAATATTTTGGCTATCAGTTGAGAAAGGGTTACTGATGCGGTCTGCCGTTTTCCAGCCATATATTAGAATATAAAATAATCGGCAGAGTTCCCATTTAATGCCGTATGTGCGCTTCAACTAGGGATGTCGCGAACCAGTTGAGGTTGGAGTTCGACCAAGTTCGACTGTTTCAAACTTTTATTGGAAAGGTCGAGAAAGTTTGACTAGGGCTCGACTGTTATTCACATGCGTGAAGGGCTGTTCAGTTGACTTGATTGGACGGTGATGACTAAATGATCAAGTCAGACATCTATTTTTAGTAAGGGCAGAACCATTTAGCTGTTTCGGTAATATAGCAAGAATAAATTATATTATTAACTTTTAGGTTATTAGAAATATTTTCCATTGATTGTAACTATTTATAAAATAAAAGAAGCAATTCCGTGAAAACTTTTTCTCTCAACCTAGACATGCTTATATCAGAGTCTAACCACATTGTCCACAAAGTCAAACCTTGTAGAATCTAGTTTAAAGTTTGTCGAACCATTCGAACCTTGAGGTTCGACGTAAAAATTCGGTTCGACAAAAGTTTGTGAGATCCCTCGTTGCAACATATCTGTAGGAGAAGCCCCACCTCCAAACCCCGGAGAAAAATGGCGCTACTATATAAATGCACAGTTTTTCTAGCGTCGCAGAATCGGACAGCGAGAAACGTGCTCTCCTATAACCACATGCATCAGCCTGGAAATAGCAAACATGACGTAGGTGTGACAACGCACAACGGAGACTAGGGAAAGGAACGAACAATACAGGGTATATTTTTGCAGCTTTCTGTGTTGTTCGTTCCTCTCCAAGCCTTCCTCGTTTCGTGCTACAGCGTTTACATTATGCTTGACTTTTACTAACTAGCCCAGCTCACAATTTTATCACTTCATTTTGCTTAGCAGTATTTTACTAAGGGCGGGCTATAGTTCTGCGCCTTCCTTCAGTGTGGACGAAGCCTCTTCTGCATATCTTAGGTTGCAACAAGGTGCGAATGGTCCTTCCAGCAGTGGGAACTTTCTCAGGGTTGTTTGCAAACGTGGCCGAACAACAAAGTAGCAATGTTTATTTTTATTTTTATAATATAAAATGCGATGGATCCCCGAGTAGGGGGGGTAACATCTGCGGGTGGTTATCAAACTAAGATGTAGTGAGCAAGTGTTCAAGCTAGAAACGTGTGCAACTCTTGACCAATAAGAAGTACTAAGATGTTTTTGAGCTTTTGTTATTGTGAATGTCCCGTTGTTGGATATCTGGGACAACTCTAAACCATTTATTATAAAACGGCTATCTAGCGTTTCAATAAAACAAATTACTGGAGAAACTGAAAAAAAAAAGACGGTTTTTAGGAACGTGTAATTGGTAACCAAAACCGTAGAAATTAAAACTGTAAAAAAACGAAACAGATATCAACAAGAAATGGTAACCATAACCGAAATGTTATATTTTTCGGTTTGTGTCCTTCAGAAAGGCTGATCTGTTTAAGACAGATGTCATATAGTAATAATTTCTCTCGTTTGTTCTTGTGTTTGAGAATGTGTTCTGGAGGTACATGACTCAGCAATGCACTTGCATTTCCTGTTCTCAAGAGACCGGTTCCTAATTCTATAGTTACAATGAAGTAACAGATGACAAGTGACTGCACTGGTTCCGATTGCTAATTTCAGGCTTCATTTCATTTATTCAGTCGATTGGCAGGTCTGTTAAGAATTCTTTCCGGTCAAGGAGCCTAAGTGCTGGTAAATGGGAGTGATAGGGGCTAAACCTAATAACTTTTCTACCAAATAAACAGTTGGCAGTCCTCTTGTTACGATAAAAAAAACATGCCTGGAGGAATTGGACTGTCTGATTGTTGGTCCTGGAACTTGGAAATATCTAAGAGACAACGAGCTGTGGGCCTAGACTTGATATCTGCTTTAATTTCTAAACAAGAAAGCAAATACTCACAGCACATTCTTCCAGGTAGGTTCCCCTTTCTCCCGGGTTCATAGGCAGTGTGGTATCAAGAAAGTTCTTGAGGGGCGAATCCGCTGCACAAAGATGACGCACGTAGATTATCACAAGTGACCACCAACTTCACGCATCCAACCAACACCAATATTGAAAAGTGCAATAAAAAACGTCGGGCAGCACAGTGATGCATGTGCAGCTGTCGAAAGCATTAGTCAAGGAGCTGGTTGTTCCGTGAACATTTGGAGTTGCGCAGCATAAGCTTTCGTGACCCGTGCACAAGCACATAGAATATTTTAGCTGGGTGCTCCAACATGGAAACGCACCCTCACAAAGCATTAGAAACATGTCAGATCTGTTGGCTGCAACAGCATGCCCAGCCTTCCGAATCCACCGCGTGACACAGCCGAGATCAACAAGCAGCAAAAAGCGCGACAAAGAGAATCATCTTTTTCAAAGGGACAAGCCTTTCCTTGTTTGGTTTTCTAGGTGCGGAGCATCCTGAAATGCTTCTTTCCTTTTTGCAGAAACCATAACGTGCAAAAGAAATCCAATTCCTGTTCCATACGAACATAAAGAGTGCATTCTGAATGAGTGGTTAGCCAAACTGAAAGTATCACTTCGCGAACCCTCGTAGAGGAGCTGTGCCGTTCCTCCAACGCAGCAGACTCACTCACGCAGTTGGATGAGGTCGCGGCAGTTTGCGAGCGAGTGGATGAGGGCCACGGCACCGCAGGCGTTCATGATCGTCTGCTTCATGAAGTAGACACGGTCGCTCACCACCTGACCAGACTCCTCAATCTCCTTGCTCTTCTCCTCGACGTAGTCCACGTACTGGACGAACAGGTACAAAGCCTCGGGTCAGCGGAACACCCCTTCAAAGAGACTATGGTGCCCGGGACACGTCTCCAACGGGTCTGTTTAACGTCCCACCGCACCCACGCATCAAAAGCAGACTTGAAGCGTCTACAAATTATGGCGCGGGAGACGACGCGTCGTGTCATTGGATGCCGCGATCTTGGAGTTTGGCCATAGAAATCGGGAACCTCGGCTACCGATTCCAGGGTTTTGTCTCCGACGAGATTCGGCGAGAGGAGTCGACATACGCGTCGAACGGATGGCGTCGGCTTCTATCACTGGCTATTCCAAATTTGCGGCCTTTTTCGGTCACCGACGGAACAAGCGGAGAGCATATCTTTTGGGCGCCGACCTCCAGCACGCGTTCGTCGCCTTCCGGCGGGCCTCAACTGTGCATGCATGCTCGAAGCGCACAAGATGTCAAAGTGTCATCGAAGGTAGGACCACTCAAAGAGCTTTCTGCTATTCTCATCATCCTGTCGGTGGCCATGGCGTGCAAAGAAGTGAATGGAGGTAGGTAAAAGCTAGCTAGAGCGCTGAGGTATCTGAGACTTTAGTCCCATCCTTGCATGACCTCCTTTAGCAGCTTCATGTTTTTCACCACCGTACTCCATCTCACAAGTTGCGCGCAGTCCTGCCGAGGCCATGGGGGGGAGAGGGAGGGGAAGGCAGCTTTTGTGCGAATTTTGAGACTGGCTAATCTTCTAGAGGAGAACGGCGACGTAGCTGCACATAAAGAAAGGCTGACGGGTATAAAGGGAGTTCCTCCTTGCGTGCCTCTTCTCAGACTGCTAGCATTACACTCTTGCCCCTGTACCTTTGGCAATGCTGCGTGCAACTACACTTAGCTTTCGCCTCAACAAAAAAGGAAGTTATGTGCATTGTTGATACGCCGCGCAAAGTAGTTCTTACAAGATTTGTTTGTTGGAGGAAGAAGCAATGTTTTTGGTGTTTGAAACATTGCGTCTTGATGAGATGACATGTGTTTAACCTCAAATGCACCGACATATATTTTAATTCTCTACATAAAAAGGGGACATTAATAATGTTCCACGAGTAGCGGGACCTTTTTTTACTACGGTTTGTGAGGTGAAAACGAGTATAGTGAGATAGAGTATAGATGCTGCAGAACTTTTGTGTCTTCACAAATAAATAGCTGCAGCTATTTTTCTAGGTTTTCATGCTTTGGCATTCGGTGTATATGTGACTGAGAAAATACAGCCAAAGACAAGCAAATGTTTTCACATTTCTTTTTTTTTTCTCGCATTACTTATTGAATTTTTTATTATCTCATTGTTACAAGCGGTCCAATCTTGCCAGAAACAAAAAGAAACTTTGGAGAAAACAAACTGAATTTTACCGACTGGTTGTAGGGGAACAGCAGGAGCACGGCTGCGACCGGAGTCGGCACCATGCTCAGGAGTTCGGGTTCAAGGCCAAAGACATCCACGAAGGACCACTCCGGGGGCATACCTAGAGCTCGCACAAACTGAAGACAACAGTCAGCAAAGGTGGTAACTGCAACCGGCAATTAAATTCGCAAGGAGTGCCACAACAAAACTGTCGCAGGTTTGTTTGCCACTGGCTTAAAGGCGCACTAAAGACGTTTCTGAGATTGTCTGTTCTTGGTGATAAGTCCTTCTATGAGATCTTAGAAACGAGAATTTAAACAATTATGCTTGTGGGACGTATATTTCTCTACTAAAAAGGTGATAAAAGTTTGTGCCATGCCCCTTTCCGAGCGAAAAAATCTGGAGCACAGAAACCAGAGGAGGCGCCGGCGGCATGACGACGCAAGCCGCCAGCGCCTCTCTCGGAAAGGCGGCTTTCGACTGAATGATGCGCGCCCGTCGTCACGCCGCTGAATTCTGTGCTCCAGATATTTCCGTGCAGAAAAGGGCGTGGCACAAACTTCGATCACATTTTTAGTAGAGAAATATACGCCGCACGAGCATAATCTTTTGATTCCTGGGATGCTAGGATCCCATAGAAGGAGTTATCACCAAGAACAGACAATCTCAGAAACGTCTTTAGTGCACAGTTAACCAAGGAAAGCGAAGTTCGGAGGCTGCAAAAGAAAAGCTGGGCAGTCGGCACCCGACTCTGATGCTCACGTTTTCTAGCTGCCCCTGAGCAGAGGTACAATGAACACACTTTTTGAACAAAACTATAAGAGGTAGGTGCCTCCACTTATTTCTTTTCCCTTGCATTAAAAGAACACTCAATGTTTGTACATCAGTGTATCAGAGTTTTTGACGACTCATGGAACAGTTGCTAACCATGTGTGGCTCCTTGGGCCACAATGTCGTCACAGCTTCCATAAATCATGTTGCATACACGGAAAGAGCACAAACCCCAATTAAATATGCTTTCTCAACATGTTGAGACGTCGTCCTGTCTATTTTCTGTCCCTTTTACGTTTTGATGCTTCTTCTCAACCCCAGGCTCAGGTTAAGTCAACATGGATAATACCTCCGTCAATAAAAGGTTACCTTAAGTAGAACAATCTCGATTTAATGCGAACCAACGTTTTGCCTCAAATCTAGATCTGTTTTACTTTCCCAGCAACCCCTTCGAAGTAGCGGACATGTCCAGATGAACAAAATTAACCACATGATGCAAGAAATGAGTATAAATTATCAGGTGCATAGTCTGGTTTGTGTGCGTGCATTGCATGAATAACTCTACTCAGTTAAGGTTACCAGTGCAGCTTCCTCAATTTCAGAGCACATCTCAGCTGCCTGACGGTGTGTTCAAATAGGCAAGTAGCATGAGCACCTGCACTGTGCCACTGCTGTTGAAGTTGTTCGTTATCAGAATTTGTTTATCTTAATTCAATATTACCGACAGATGCATGGATGACAGTAGTGCACTACCCCCTACACTGTTACTATAAATAACGCAAGTCAACTACTAGCTGCATCTGTTTTTGCAAGCCCTCTCTCTCAGTTGCATCTGTAGCCCTTTTTCTTTTCTTCTTCTACCACTCCCCTTAACGGGGCTCTCACAAACGTTTGGGAGCTCACTTCGACGAATGTAATTATTTTGGTGCCTTTTCCCCGAGATCTCAACTCGACAGAGCACTGTCTTCTCGGGAACAGGCACTAGAGTGTGCTTCTAACCTACGAGATCAACCTAACATTCGTCGAAACGAGCTGACAACATCACCGAGGACCGATCAGCAAATTCAGGGTTCGTACCTTGGTCATAACCTGAAAAACAAATGGAAAACCAGTCAATCGCCGAATCGTTGATAGCTCGAACCACTCGACGTAGAAAAATTACGTCTTACCTCTGGGTTGCATTCTAGGGGCACCCATTTAGAATCGCCAGACATGTTTACAGAATATGAAAGGTCGTTCTTCCACAGAACAAAACGCAAACCTTAATCAAGAGCGACTGTCAACGACACGGTGAGTCAACGAACACCGGACTTTCGCAAGCACACGCAACCGGCGAAAAAACAGATGGATAGATGGATGGATAACCAGAGCCCAGGCCCAGCCAGAGCCGTGAGCCGTGATGTTAACGGCTCTGATTAACCCTTTGTAACTGGCGGTAGCTTGCGCCACCTAGCCTAAGTCTAAAAAGACATTGCTTGTGAATGTCTTTTTGATGAACCAACTTGCTCAGCTTAACCCAATAACTAAAAAGACAAAAACGTTATTCCTTCTGCCCTTTTAGGACCAATTTTTCTCCCCCTAACGATCACCAGGTAGTGTGGGATATCACCAGGGTGACCTACAGGGGATCGGGCAAAAAATACTAAAAGCATCACCCGCCTGCCTCTTCCATCTGGCGAAAGAGTCGCCAATTTTCCTCTGGTCAAACCTAGGGAGCCCTCATGTGCGCTTTGCTAGGGTGATGCCACCCTTTGTAATACCACTCGTAGACAAACCAGCAGCCATTTTGGCCCTCGGCGATAATCCGTGGGCTTATAAGCCTCCCGGAAACAAGCACCTTATCTCACAAGTTCGGAGCAGCGTTGTGGAACCCACGGAGGAAGGATTAGCATTTCCCCCCTCGGATAGGAGGACCGATGGACACAAAGGCCACTTTCCGGCGCACGGGGAAACAATGAGGAACAAAATGGCGGTGGACGAGGGTGTGGGAAAGGGAAACAGGCAGTTGGCATCACCCTATGCGAAGCGCACATGGAGGCACCGTAGTCAAACCATGTCTTTATGTATATAACTCTTTCTAAACTTATAGTCAAACCTTTTCCGCGCTACCCCAGCACTGGACCCACTGGGAGACGGTTGAGACTTTGGGACGGAGCCACGCGGGAGGGAGTTCCAACTTTCCTCTGTTCCGCTGTTCCCAGCTGTGCTAGTTAGTTGTCCACCATTTAATTTTTTCCAGATAATTTCCACCAATCTTCTAATCGTCTCTTCACTGTAACCCTTTTCTCTACCGTCCTTCCATCGTCGCCAGCGAAGGGCCCCGGCCAAATCCATTACCCCTTAGTTCAAAGAGGGCAGGGCGAAGCCCCGTGCACTTCAAAACCAAGTGCTCTATATATAGTGTCTCGCTATCATTATGGCAGGCGGCACATAATGTGTCTGTCTCCTGAAATTTAGCCGATACGTCCTCGTCCTCAAAACTCCTGTTCTTGCCTGGAACAGCAAAGCACTGCAGTGAATTGTTAAAAAATTTTCCTTTCTTATGTCCTGCTTTCGTGACCTGTACACTGTCAAAGCTGATTTCTCCTGCATTCTCCCCTCCCACATTTTCCTCTCTGTCTCTTTCACCCCCTTTTTCACTGAATTAGTCCGTTCAGCCCCATCACCAGCAGTGTGTAGATATTTAAATGTAATTGCTTTCGGGTTCGGTTTGTCCATTTTGTGTTTCAACTTTTCATGTATAAATACTTGAATAACTTCCGTGTCCACCGCATATCATCCATTTCGGTCAACCTTTGTTCGAATTTCAACTTACTAATTGCTTCCCTGCTCTCAAAAGACGACAATATCCCATATGTGCCCCTGTACTCCCTCATTTGGTGTTTTTCCATGTGCTCCCAGCGCCAATCTGCCTACGCTTCTTTGTCGAATTTCTAACCCTGATTGAACCTCAGATTTCATGCACAGTACTGCATTGCCAAAAGAAAGTCCTGGTACCATCACTCCCTTCCATATACCTCTGAACACTTCATATCTGTTGTAGTTCCATAGTAACTTGAGCTTCTTTTCCCTTTTCTAATTTTATTCTCCTCGTGTTCCTCTAGATATTTCCTTCCCTCATTGAGCCAGACTCCTAGATATTTGTACTTTTCTACCTGTCCTCCCCTGCTGCAAATTCTAATCAGTTCCTGCATTGTCTCACGACTTTCTGATACGAGTACAGTGTCGTTTGCACACATTAACCCTGGCAATACTTGATTTACTTTATGTCCTTCCTAGGTTGCACTGCTCAAATATTTTTTCCCTTTTTTCCATCTCACTGAGGTGCCCACAGGCGCCCAGTGTTACCAGTGTTACCAAAAAACCTTGTAAACCCGCAAAGTATGGTGCAAAAATACCCAAGCCAAGATACCCCAGTCGCTCAAGCTATGGTTCGAGAATACAAACGAAAATTAGCGCGCGCCACGCGCCGTCTACCGGAATAATCTGTAGAAAAAAAACCGAGATTAGCGGGCAGTTTTTGCCGGGAACCATTGCACATGCTTTGTGCTGCCCTGCAACCCTTTAATTTGCCATTAAAAGTCGCCTAGGAGCGACTAATAACACTTTTAATCATGTTGGAACAGAACCCGGAGTTAGGCGATCCCGTCGAAGAAGAGGACGAGGAAAGCCCGGAGAGCACCAAAGAGTCGGTAAGGGCAATCGGTGCGCGCTATGAACATCCTTGAGCTTGTCAGGAAGGCGGCCTTTGATTTCATATTGCCGGATCATCTTGCCGGCGTACGTCCCGATTTAGTTTCTCTTTACCTTATTTTTTTGTTTGTTTCACTTGATTCCCTTTTGCTTTGATTACCCAGAGCTTACTTTCGGTAGTAATTAGGCGCGATCCGTGTGAGCAGCGATAGGCGGTATCCCGCGAAAAACACGGGACAAGTAAAAATATGAACGATAGTAGACGTTCTAGCGTGCTCCAAGAACCAGAATGTTTCTTTCTGAAGCATTACTAAACGGTGCGAACCTAACCTGCCTAGTATCGTTAAAGGTTATCGAGGCTGTGTGGCAAGTATCTTTATTCACTTCCGAGTGGCATCCGTAGGACCGGCAAATCTTTTGTTTTACATGAAAGTGCTGCAACTACGTTTCGGTGTTGGGTGTATGGGGTCCGCGCACTTTCATGAAGCCGATTTTACGTGAATTCCGTAGCGATCGTTTTCTTGGTAGGAGTGAGGGTCGGGGTCCGCGCTCGCGAAAGCGACCGTCATACGTAAGACTAATGGCAAAGGGATTCATGCATTAGACGTAGGTCGGTCCTTCGTCACACACACACACATGAAATCGGAGGTTAAAATTCGGTCGCTTTGTTCCAAGTTGGTAATAGGGGAGAAATCCGACTGTTCAAGAAATGGTTTTGTAATTTGTCATTAAATAAGTACACAACTAAAAAAAGTGTGCAGGCGAGTTGTTCTACGTGGTAACCCACAAGGGGGGGAACACGGGGCAACACAGAACTTTCTGTTGTTTTTACCCCGTCTTTGGGTTACCATGTAAGCACACAAGACAGCATTCTTACCTGATATAAGAACTCACTTGGTCTTTTCGATTTTTTTTAAATAAAAACTTGTTGCTTACATAGACATTTGCATGCGTTGCATGTCTGTCTCCATCCTAGACCTGTCCGCTTTTTGGACATGCCTGAAATGAGAGACCATTCCTTCTACATTGCAGCTTTTACAATGCACAACAGTGTTGCTGGTGTCTGTTGCTCCTGTCAAATTAAAGTTGCTCATCTTTATTTTTATTTTTTTCGCTTTCAAAATGGAAAGGAAAATCTATAATTTGCAATGAGCGTAAAAACTACAATTAGGGGCTAAGCCTGTCACTGCTGTTCAATGGAGTCAACGGGATTTGGCATCTTTTCCGAGGTTGGCGCTGCCAGTGCCCCTATCAGCTTTAATATTTTCGGAGCAAAGTAATTTGGAAAATAGTGGAGTTCATTTCCTATATTCGGGTAAAGATCGGGTTTAACCCGATTTTTAAGAGACGAGTCATCGGCATATTTAATCGGTTCCGCATTGATTTCAACATTGTGAAACCTACCTCGAAGCAATTTTAAAGCTTCAGAGGGAAGCCCTCTCTTTCTAGTCTTCACGGAAGTACCATTGAAAAACCAGTAGCTTTGCGCCATAAAGCCAGTAATCAACATTGGAAACAGCCGCATTGCTTGTGTTACTGTCATTGCAATAGTCCAGTTATTACCATTTTACATTTGTCTTGTACGGTGCCTTACAAACGGTCTTTTCTCATTACATTTGAAGCATCCTGGTACCAACTCTACGACGCAACACAGAAAATCCCGCTCATGCGTTTTGGTTCCGAGCTGTGCAGACAATACTAGCATGTCTTTTTCTCATTATTTGTCTGCCCGAAATGCTCTTTTCGAACCAGAGTATGTTTAGATCAATGGTTCGACAGAGGTCACAGCTCGCTCCTTTGCATAGGGGATTTGTGAAGCTCGCTATGCCTAAAGTTTTTCAAGCATGAAACCTTAGAAGTTATCCTTCTCTCCTAATCTGTTTTTGGTACGGTTTCAGACACCAGATGAGGAGGACACGCTTACGGGAAAGAGGGACGAGGCGGACTATGATAGCAAACTGGTAAGTTCGCTACCGGCATTGCAGGTGCCTTGCTTGGCGCAGCCTGGATCACAGTGTGTCTTCGCCATTGTGGGCTTGAGGTCTCCAGAGTCTCCCCTCTCGTTTCAGGATTTGGACAGAGGCAACAGATTCGACTACCTCCTGCAACAGACCGAGATCTTCGCACATTTTATGACCACAAGCAGCGCCGCCAAGGGCGTCACGTCGCCACTCAAACTGAAGCCTGGGCGGCCCAAACTGAAGAAGAATGACGAAAAGGCGAAACTGGCCGCCATTGGAGAGTTAGTTTCGTTTGTTTGCTTGTTTTGTGTCTGTATCTAGAACGAGACAGTTGTGACATACTGTAAACTACTTTTGTTTTCGCGAGCTCAATTTGGCACGAATTTTCGAAGCGCGGGTTTTGGGAATGTTTTGTAAGCACAAATTTTTGCGGTTTAAAGGGATAATCAATTTATTCGGTACCTTGGGCGTATCTGATCGTGTGATAAGTTATGCAGTATCTTCAAATCCGCAAAAATTTAGTAATTTACGGTATGTCGATCATGTGTTGTACAGTGATACCTCTCGGGTCATGTTTTTATAATGCGGATGTGTGTAAATGTGAAAAGCCTATAAGTAAGGAAGGTTTTACATTACTTGGACCTTTACAAATGGGTGTTCTAAAATTCAAATCAACTTGTTTCACGCCGTGTTTCGAGAGTTGATTATGTTGGGGGTTTCTGAGGAACCTTTGCATGACAGGGATGCGCAGACAGGACCTGGAAGAAGCTCAAGTCCCACTGACCCTCTTTTGTGGAAACAAAGGGGCTACGAGTGGGACAGTACACTTTGCTTCTGGGGTGGTTAACTGCAGTGGAATTTCAACACCGTTTTTGGGGCTCAGTTTACGTACAACCATTTTTTCCTGAAAGTCTCAAGGAAAATTAATGGCCCCTGAGCTTCTGGTATAACAGTTGTCTTGGTAAAAACGAAAACGAAAATCATTTTTGATATTTTGACATAATGCGCAGTTAGCTGAAGATCTGTTGCTATTAATGCTACATTATTGTTCAGGCTGCCATACATTCTGGTTAAACCTTTATTGTTTAGGTGGAGAGTGCACAAATGCAGTTCCCAAATGTCGATTTCAACACTTCAATCCATTTTAGCGTAACTTGAAAAAGACTGAATATTTCGGCCCTTGTGCAACAGTCGGAGGAGCGAAGTAACGCACATGACAGCTCTCTCCGAGAGGGAGTGTTTGCCGGCTGCACATTGTCGCACGCCTTGCTCCGACTAGCTTGCTAGAGTTGTACATTTTGCTGTTTGCAAAGTTGTACCGAAATTGAGTAGAGACGGCTAATAGCAAAACGCAAACCCTCCCCGATCCTCAAATATTTTGTACTTTCTTTTGTTGTTCTGGGACATCTTGGGGCCTTAAGCGCCGTTCACACTCTTGCGATTGAGTAAGATCGAGAGAGACTAGACCGGTTTTTAAGCCTTTTGCGACTTATTAGGACCTGATCCGCTGCAGCGGAGCTGGTCCTAAGAGATCGCAAGAGGCTTAAAAACCGGTCTGGTCCCTCTCGGTCTTACTCGGTCGTAAGACTGTGAACGGGCCTTTGCTGCACGGGGGGACCAAGCGGAACCAAGGGACTGGGACAATGTCTTCTGCTGCGATTTGCTACCGCCGCGCTGCTGTTCAATCAGTGCAGACGGCATTGTCCCAGTCCCTTGGTCCCGCTGTGTAGCATAAGGCCCTTGGTCTTTGATAATGTGTTTCCAACTCTCATGTTTTATGAATGCTTGCTTTCCAGCCTGCGTCACCGCATGACAGAGCAAGAGGAAGACGAAGAGCTTCTGTCGGACAGCCGCCGCAAGGAGATTGTGGTTACCCGCTTTGAGGAGTCTCCCTCGTACATCAAGGGGGGAGAGCTGAGGGACTACCAGGTGCGCGGCCTCAACTGGATGATCTCGCTCTACGAGCACGGGATCAACGGCATCCTCGCCGACGAGATGGTGAGTTTGTGGGCGGCTTAAAAAAAAACACTACCCAGAAAAAAAAAAAGAAAAAAAAATGCAGAAAAGAGTTGAATTTAAAAGAATTCATGATTAGATCTACCAACATCTAGAGAGTATTCCTAGGAAGTTTAATTTGTTTACAGTGCATAGTCGTTTTACAAGATATTTTTGGTCCGCCGATGCTAAAGAAAAGGTATAGGTTCCAGCACTTTGAACGCGTCTTTCTTTGTTCCACTTTTTGGCATAAATTTCACTTTAGGAAAGCTATCATTTGGTAACGGGACAAAAGGAAAAGCTTGCTCATTCGTTTTCCTAACTGGAATTTCATGAGCAATGCAACTGTGGCATTTTTTTTTTTTCTTTGTGGATGTCTTTTATAAAAGATGTTAGGATTTGTCCGACGTAAGGGCAAAAAATTTATTTGATTGTTCCGCACTATGTTAGCATAAAATAAATTACTTTTTGGAAATTTTGTTTCCACAGTTGCTCTCTCCAGGCATTCTGCTACATATCTAATGAAAAAATGAAATGTTGGGTGTTACATTAGTTTTCTAATGATAGTTATCCTAAACAATGTCTATGTGTTCCTGATGAAAATGAATATAATTTTTTTTTTTTCACAATTCATGTACACAGATGAAACTTTGCAACTACCAGTTAAATTTCATTCATATTAAGCCACAAGTTCAAAAGTTAACCTTTTTGGGCAGTGTCCTCCCTTAAGGGACACCAACAGGGTATTCATGCTTGCCAGGTTTTTGTTTGTACATGACATATAAGAGCCCAACTACCTAGAACACAATTTGCGGCTCGAAATTCGTTTTCTGTCCGCCCGAGAACCGACGATCGAGCACTGGCCGGTTGGTGTCGCGCTCACTCTCTTTTTTATGGTTACGTGCCGTTTTCTATAGTTTAGGCACAACCACCAAAGGTAATCAGAGTCGTGGGTCGTCGAAGGCACGCACTCAATGTTAAGAATGGAAGAAAAATATGATACCCATTTTTTGTGGCTCCTAAAAAGTGCAATTATGTTGAATAAAAAAAAAAAGAAGAAAAAGGAAGTTGCACAGCCACGTGATTTCTGGCAACACACTCCTCCTCTATGTTTCTTCTTCCTCCCTAGTCGAGTTTCGGTTCCGAACAGTTGCGTCCTTTGACTTCATTAAAAGTATATGTGACGCTGTAGCAAAATATTGATTGGGTAGTCTTCTGACAACCATAATAAATTGCCTAACAAAAAATAAAAAAATAAATATTGGGGGGTGTCAGTGTCTAACATCAGGAAAAGCACCATTTAAGACGAGATGTGGTATTTGCTTTGAGCTGTTCCGTCTGCCTTTGAGTTACTTAATGGCAATTGGCAGATTTTTAAAGGGCCTAACCAGAAAGGGTGAGAAAAGCGGGAAAAAAAATATATGTGAAATTGCCCTCGCACGTATGTAATCTTTCTGTTTATTACTACTGTAGCCGTAGTTCTCTCTGTCTCAGCAGTTATCAAGGATGTGATTGGATTAAGTCTTGGCTACTCCCTTTGTATAGGGTGCAGTCTATGCTCTCCTCCAGCCAAAAGTAACTACGTAGCGATTACATCGCTACTTGTCGCTCTGACGCCACCAGTCCTCAAGTCTTCTCTTGGTGCGCTCTGTAATGCTCTCGGTTCTTTGCACTGCATCAGCCGAGTCCATGTTGGCTTCTGCCTCTCCCAACTGTCCTAAAGCCCAGAGGGCACCGTCAGTAGGTCAGAGGGACTGTTTGTAATAGACATTGTAATAAAACATTGACATTGTAGTAAACAAAAAAGGTTTATAGATATAAGGCTAGTTTTATTCTTTCCTAATTGTTATGTGCATGGACAGGTCAACAGGGGCTGCCATGCGACAACTTAAACACCTGGTAACCATTATTAAACAAGTAAATATTTGGAATGATTTTATAAGTTTCTATTTTTATGGGCATGCGCAGTCTTTGAGCTGCTGCTTGCGCTGTTAGCCTAAGAGTCCTGCTGACCAGTGTACCGTAAAATACCGGGCAAGCGCCCACTCGAAATATAGAGAGAATCACAGAAAAATGGGGATCGGCGCTTGTCCGGTCATCAGTTTTACATATAAATGTAGTGTGCATATTTTCTCAGATCCTAGAAATTTGGATATGGGCGCTTAATGTGGAATGGGCAGATGCGCGGTATTCTACAGTAGATGTGTCTGAGTCGAAGATAAAGTTGCCTTTGTTCTCAAAATATTATTACTAAACAAAATATTTATTTAGCTGTGGTTGGTTGTTTTTACGCTCCAACATGGGTATGCTTGGCTGACTAATGTGCAGAACTAAGGAGACCTGACGAGATGCGAATTATCTGCATTGATTTAAATTGAATTTGAGTTCGCCTTCTGCCAGGTCCCTTCTGTGCCTCGTGTGTGTTTCACGTGCCGCCATTTCTGCGCAGGGTCTGGGCAAGACCCTGCAGACCATCTCCCTGCTGGGCTACATGAAGCACCACCGCAACATCAACGGCCCCCACATGGTCATTGTGCCCAAGTCGACCCTGGCCAACTGGATGAGCGAGTTCGAGCGATGGTGCCCCTCCCTCCGCGCCGTCTGCCTCATTGGAGATCAAGAGACCAGGGTATGCGTCCCTTCACCACCACTCGCAGGTGTTCATGGCCGAAGCAAGCCATGCGAAATGGTCCACAAATGGCAGGAATTCATAGTTTCTTATTTTGCACTGAAGTAAAGGAATAAAGTAAAGCAACTGTTTTAGGGAAGGGGGGAAGGGAGGGAGGAAGGAAGGAGAGCCCCCCACCCCTCAAATAAAATTTATTACCCAGGCGAAAAATGCAAGGTCATTGGACATTGGATGTATGTGCAGTATCTAATATTTCGTGAAAGAGAGTCATTCACAAGGCGAGAAGGGTGGGGAGGAGCTTTGGTTGTCCTGTCTCCAACGCAAGCTTCCTACTGTCTAAAACACTCTGGCGTCTTGTGCACCTCGGGCGCATGTGTACAGCCGAAGCATGGCGGAAGGCGTGGGGCGGGTGCTGGAGGCCGGGCCTTCCAAAGAGCTTCCCTGCCATTCGCACTCACTCTGTTGGCATGCCCTGAACCCATTGCACGGCCCGGTACACAAGGATAACAGTGTGCAGAAGCCAATTACTATTGGAGTGGTCCATAACCCACATGTGCTTGAAAGAACTGCCAGGCGGAGGTTGGACAAGAAGACGAGAGCGAAGTTCTGCTCCGTTTATAGACCCTTTTTTGTTTACAAACACAAGCCGTCTCTTGGCTACCAGGAGACGGTTTCAGTCGCTCCGTTTCAGCGGGCCTTTCGAGCCACCTGATGTCAAAATTCCTGGGACGACGAAGTTTTACGGAAATCACCAAGTCTGAGGTTTAGCAAGGTTCTTACGTTGCACTATTCAATGTGTAGGAGGAGGTCGGTTGTCTTACGGGAGAAACGAAAAATCTCCGACAAATCTTTCGCTAACCACCTGGAAAACTGGTCACAAAATATTTCATGAACATTACAAGTAGCGGTGCTATGGTGGGGGGGATTATTTTTCAACTAGTTTGACTGGAAGTTCGCGGGGACATAAATTGCCAACAGCGCCTCCCATCGGCGCTTTTTGAAAAGGGGTCTATGCGTGGTAGACAAGAAGACATCGGAAAGAAATTGAAATGCGAGAGGTATGTGTATACCAGCTATAAATAACCATGCTAACCAAAGTCGCTCTGCTAGCACATGAAATAGGGAATCCCATTCCTGCACGAGAGATCAGTGGTCAGATTCCTGCGGGAGGACAGATTCTTTTTATGTTATATTTTCGTTAACAACTTTTCAGCATGCTCAAGGCTTGAACTTTAGCCCTTAAGCTCATTTTGCGTTAATAAGTCCTGGTCCGAAGCTCTAAGTAATCTTGCCAGGTGGCATTTTTGAGTGGACATCTTGGCTTCCTCCGTTCCTCAATAGACAGGTGGTCAAAGGATAGTTTGTCACAATGATTTTTTAAGGTAAAGCAAAGTTGTGGTAAGTTTGTTATCTTGGCATAGGCATCTGTCATACTAACATTGCAGGTATTGATGTACCGTAAAATTACGTAAGGCCATCCTCCCCCGAGAGATCGCCCACCCTATTTGTTTGGCTGAATATCCGCGGTGTAAAAATTCCGAAACATCACCCAACCCCCCAATTCCATTGGACATCACTCGACATCCGACGGGAACCACATCAACCGCACGATCTGCGGTACCGGTACGTGCAACAAGCGAGTTTTCAGTGGGTTTACACGTTCCTGTCCGCGATCTCTGCACGCGACGTCAGTTCCTGTGGCACACAAGTTTAGCCGGATTCCGCATGTTTATCGCATCGTGAAACCAGAATCCGCTGCATCTGCAGTTTGCAGCATCCCTTCCCATGACACAAGAGTTCCCGGTGAATTCCTGCGCATTCATTGCGTCGCGAAACGCAAATTTGCTTCGTCCGCAACCTGCCGCAATATCAGTTCCTGTGCCACGTGGTTTGTGGCGGGTGCCCCTGATGTTTACCGTTATTTTGTTATTTTGCTGTGTCATCCCCAAAGAAGCCCCTCATGTTTTTCGCACTTCATCTCTTCGTTTTGGGTTGGCGCCCTCACGGGATTTCACTGTAGTCGGGACCTTTTTACAGTGGAGCTGTTAAAGGCTAGTTTCCCCAGGATCGTGTCCCCCGGAAAGAAATGTCAACACAAAACTCTGGACAGCTACCGCCATCTATGAGTGACGGCAGCAACCAGATAATCGGCTTGCCGGCCTTGCTCAGAGATTGCGACAACCTTTCCAGCCTTTCCATTCTGGTTTTCGCCAGAGTGAAAAGGCTGAATTTTTCTAGGCGCCATCCTAGATGTCGTCCTCGAGGTCGTCCTAAGTGTCGTCCTTGAGGTTGTCCTAGATCGTCCTAGAGGTTGTCCTTGAAATTGTCATAGACGTCGTCCTTGAGGTCGTCCAAGAGGTTGTCCTTGAGGTCGTCCTAGTCTTTGTTTTTGAAATCATCCTAGAAGTTGTCCCTGAGGTCATCCTAGGCATCATCCTTGAGGTTGTCTTAGAAGTTGCCCTTGAGGTCGTCCTAGACATTGTCCTTGAGGTCGTCCTAGACGTCTTCCTTAGGCGTCGTCTTTGAGGTCGTCCAAGAAGTCGTCCTTGAGGTCGTCTGACCATAGCACGGCTTCGCTGGTCTTCCTTCTTCACCAGAGTGAAAAGGCTGAAAGTTTTTTTTTTTCTTTTTGTAGGCTGATTCTGCTTTACAGGCGTTCTGCCATATGAAATTTTTTTTTTTTTTGTTCCCCAGGCGGCGCTCATCCGCGACACCCTGATGCCTGGCGAGTGGGACGTCTGCGTCACCTCGTACGAGATGGTCATCCGGGAGAAGGCGGTGCTCAAGAAGTTCAACTGGCGCTACCTGGTCATTGACGAGGCCCACCGCATCAAGAACGAGAAGTCCAAGGTCGGTGGTGCCTGAATGGCTCGTCGTTGCTCTCCCTTTCAATGCACCGCGCTACTCATTTTTGGTGCGGTCTGTCGAGCATGCACTGCGGTATGCAGCTGCTCGTTTTACGCGTGTACATTGTGGTTTTTCTATCAGCTTTCAGAGATCGTGCGGGAGTTCAAGACCACGAACCGTCTGCTCCTGACGGGTACTCCGCTGCAGAACAACCTCCACGAGTTGTGGGCACTCCTCAACTTCCTGCTGCCCGACGTCTTCAACTCGTCCGAGGTAGGACGCTCATTTGTGCACCATACACTGCGATGCATTAGGCGGAGTTTTTGGACATCTCACGACACTGGAACAGTTGGAAGTTTGGAGCTTGGGGCGGGATTATTAATTGTTGTGTAAACTTTGTGATAACGCTCTTCTATTCTCAAATTGCACTGTTTTTTCAGTTCTATTTATTCTACTTACTGAGGAAATAAGCCTCGTAATGTAAGCCAAGATACAGTGAAGAAAATGCTACCAATATAAGAAAGAGCTACAGATACAAATATTCTCCTAGCGTTTTCTGGAAATGAAGTGGGATATTAAATATACCATAAAATACCGCGGAAGTGCCCACTTCTTTCACGCACTCACTATTAATGTGTTCCGAACTTGGGGATTCTGCAAATTATACATTAAGCGGCCGATTTGACCGGACAAGCGATCATGTCTAGGTTAACCCAGTTTTCAGTGAAAGTGCTTTGGGCTCTTCCCCAGTATTTTATGCTATACTATAAGTGTTGAGAATAGGAGGACTTTGTGCCAATTCTAAATGCACGAGGCCGGAAACTGTATGCTGGATAGAAGTCTCAGCTGAACGCCGACGCCACAGTAGTGTCCACTCTGCAAACTACAACAGCCTCTTTTAGTGACTCGGGAAAATTTTTGCACTTTGGCTTTCCTATTTAGGTGGTATTGGTGATGGCTATTGCTAGCCTTGGCAATAGACCCCTTGAAATTCATTGGTTACTGATGGCTCAAGACCCAGTTTCACTTTCAACAACCTAGTGGTGGTCATAAAACCGTTTTTCGTCGGGCACCTTCGCTTTCGCACGCGAATGGTAGATCAGAGTCAGTTCTTCGATCATCTCATAATTCTTTCTTGTTTTGCTTCTATTGCGATGTTGTGAGCCATAAGAACAGACCAGCACGAAGCGGCTACCCGTAAGCCCCTTGATGAAATTTCTGCTATCGAAGGACTTTTCAGCCGAGCTCGTGCCAAGAGGTTGATTAGACCACACTTCGAAATAAACGCTCACCAGCCGTTGCGTGTAATTCGTGTGTCGTGCTGTACTGACCTCTCGAACATGCAGGCCTCAGATATTCTCCTCTTGGTAGTATTTCCAACTTCTTCCCTCAGCAGCCACAAGAAGGCCGCCATTAGTTTGGCGCAGGTGCCATAGTACACTGGGATGATGACAGTGACATAGCCTCCTATATGGGGGGAAAGTCTGCGGCATCTGTGCCTCATCTGGCTGCCAAAAATGGGAGGCACGAATCCACAGAATGTAAGAACAAAATATGCCATTGGGACGAGCATGTCACATCACCCCTTTCAACCTAGGACTCGTCCTACTCCCTCAGTCCCTCTGCGGATCCTCTTTTTTCCCCCAAGGATGTTTCCTGTTGTGTCCTTTGCACCTTTCATCTCGGAGAGCACTAAACTTGGCATCGACTTTTTGGTGCTAAACTATCAAGGCTAGCGTAGCCTCTACAGTGCTGCAGCCGTGCACTGCTGACGAGTGGCTTCGTGTTTTGTCTCATTCGCATGCGCTCGTGCACTTTGACGGAGTTGGAGCACTGCAGAAGCTATGCTAGCCTTGACAATGTAGCACAAAATTGTTGACACCTAGTGTAGGAAGGGAGAATAAGTTGTAAACAAAAAAAAAAAATATAGAAAAGCCAGTCTTTTTTTTTATTTTGTGTGTTGCAGGATGCAAAAAGAAAGAAAAGAGGGGTAGTTTGGCTTACGACATCTGCATGGCACTTATAACAAACTGGTTCCTCCTTGCCTGGCCCTTCACGCTTTCCCTCCCTTTTACGGCAACCTGACGGCCTATGTTCGAGCGTGGAGAGCGCAGGCTTTCCGCCTATGTGTGAGGCTACAATAGTGATCAAAGCTGCCAAACTGAATTTCAAAAAAGGGTGTATGTAGCACAAAATGGTTCATGCAATGTAAGGTGGGTGACGTCGAAGATTGAGCCCCGGTCTGGGAACGTCCCTCTCTGCGCCTTTAGGACTTTGACTCGTGGTTCAACACCAGCAACTGCCTGGGTGACAACCACCTGGTGGAGCGGCTGCATGCGGTGCTGCGGCCCTTCCTGCTGCGTCGCCTCAAGTCTGAGGTGGAGAAGAAGCTGCTCCCCAAGAAGGAGGTGAAGGTGTACGTGGGGCTCTCCAAGATGCAGCGGGAGTGGTACACCAAGTGCCTCCTCAAGGACATTGACGTGGTCAACGGTGCGGGCAAGGTGGACAAGATGCGCCTGCTCAACATCCTCATGCAGCTGAGAAAGTGCTGCAACCACCCGTACCTCTTCGATGGAGCCGAGCCAGGTGGGGATGCGTTTCTTTTAAATAGATAACTTTACATCACAACCCTTCATGCACTTTGTAATGAGAAAAAGTTTAAAGAAAAAAGAAAATAAATTTATATCTACCTTAGGCAAGCAAAACCCCTGGCGTGGCGTCTTTCAGTCTTTTTTCGCAACCTGTCTTTGCGCTACCGATCGCTTTCTACATTGTTTTTTTAATCTACGTATCTTCACACACTCTGGTTTTTGTCTGCCGCCAAACGTCAATAGCGCTTTGTAAAAAAAAGTGCAACAAACCTTGCTTGCTCGTGTTGGTCGTATGGTAGGAAAGTCGTGGGGGAGGGTGTCAACAACAGAGCGAAGTTGTTGGTTTAATGTCGTAGGCCTTGCCACGAGAAGCAAAGTGTCACACGAAATCATGGTGTCAGCATGACCAAATGGTTGACATCACAATGTCACATTATAGTTCAGGTGACACATGGTGTCGCATCACGTAGTGTCACGTGGCGTGGTGTCGCAATTTAATAATAATAAATCATAATAATAATGTCTTTATATTTTCATCACATGATGAAGGGTAGGCCGGGGAAAAAAGCTGTGAAAACAGCTTGACGGGTCCCCGACCTCCTACAGTGGCAGAAACATAACAGCTCAAACAAACAAACAAAAGCAAAGACAAAAAAAAAAAAATAAAAATAAAATAGCTGTTACAAAAACAGCCCCGGCATGACAGATTGTCAGAAAAACCGTTACACTGTGCGGTTATTGTATATAGTAATTTCGGATCTCATTCATAGAGAGCGAGTCCAGTTGAAAGTCACGACTAATAAAACGAAAAGGGCATTCATAGCCATCCGGCGGCTGGTTTACTTCTTCCCGGAACACGGGCATAAAGCAGGGATCTCAGGGACCCGACCGCGGGGAACGCCTATCTTCCTCAATGATTGGCCGAGGAACAGCCTCGTCATTGGTGCTATAAACAATAAAGTGGCAAACAATCCTGCAGACCGTGCGAACAATAATGCGAGCATTACGCTCATAGCTGTACATGAATGTAGGGTTCAGATCTGCTAAAAAGCAGGGTGTCGAACCGGAACCGAACCGAACCGAAAACCGGAACCGAACCGGTATTTTTTCCGGAACTGAACCCGAACCCGAACCGTTATATTGTTATCGCGATAAACCCGAACCGGAACTGAACCGGAAAAAAAATAACGGTTACCGGCTCATGTCAAAACGGTTCGGCCACGCGCTGTTGACAATGAATGTGCTATCAATGCCATTTGTTTTTTAAGTGCCGTCAACTGACACACACCTCGCTTACATATTTTTCTTCTCCACTCAGTCTTAGGAATATAAACGCTGCATCCATGAATCTTGACATAGGAACCAGTATTGCGCTGGTCGCGGCTTGCACGGAAGAAAGAGAATTGAAAAACTGCAAAAAAAAAAAAAAAAATCGCGTCACGGGATTTCATTTTTCTACAGTCTCGTAAATCCTAAATGCTGCTGTGTGCTCATTTCATAACACGTTTCTAGAACGCACGAGTTCTTGAAGCTTGCTTCCATCGGAATGAGAAAAGAAAAGGCTGTGGAGTTTGATAATAATGCATCCGGTTTCGTATAGGCACTTAGAAGCTAACATATTTGTGAGACAGCGAACTCTTCTATTTTAATATTTATCCTATTACGTCCTTCTGGCATTGCGGTCGGTGAAGTGTTTTTCATATTCCGTATCTTGTTTAATGAAAACTTCTTTAAGGGTCTAATTTAAAGGGGCACTGACACCCCAAAGGTCGTATTTATTTTTATTGTCTAAAACGATGCAAGTTGCAGTCATAGACACGCAAAAAAAACCGCATCGCGAAAAAAAATTTTCCCGCGCGCGCGCGCGCCTTTTTATTTTTGGCGTTTGATTTTCCCGCCTCTCGCCTCCTCGCTTCTTTTGATCGGTGACGTCAAAAATCAGGAAATTTAGAAGCTTTGTAGGCGACATCTCTATAACATTTAATTACGGCAATCCTAAAACATGTTTTTTAACGCAATTGCGAACGCACTACGGCCCTTCTTTTTGAAATACCAAAAATCGGGAGTTCGTTGTGGTGCCGTCTCCTGGATTTGTATCCTTCAACGGAAAAGAGGCGACACCGCTCAAAACCGGTCCGCCGCAACGCCGGGCGCTCGCTCCTTTCCTCCTCGCTTTGGGTCGCCATGGCAACAGCAGGGAGTGGTGAAAGGAAGGGGACTGTCAGGTCTCCGCAATTTTTGACGTCAAGGCACCGGCGCCGATCGCGCGGGAACTTTGAATTCGGCATTTGGAAATTGTTTTTTTACTTCACGAATACTGAATTCCCAAATCTCAAATTTTGAGGGTAATGTCCCGGCATCGTTTTCAATCGTTTCGGATAATAAAAAAAAATATGATTTTGATGTGTCAGTGCCCCTTTAAATACCGAAGGCTAGTTCAAATAAAGAAAGCTGTATTTTCTCCCCACTGTTCCATCAATTGCTTACGCGCCGAGGTGGCGGTATAGTTAGCGAGTTCCACTTGTAAGTGGGTTTGTAAGGAGGTCGCACATTTTACAGCTACTGCGTCGGACCCAATCAGATGAAGTCCGAATACGTAAACGTCGGTAAGGTAACCTTTGAGTGCACATAAAGGAGCCATTCCTGGTAGAAATCCCTGAGCCTTACACTACGATGTATCCCGTTTCGTATGTGCTGATTTCAGGTGTTTTATTTGTAATTTATTTTGATGTTGCAATTTGTCATTTATAATTTCCGAACCGGTTCGCAAACCGGTTCAGCACCCCGAACCGGTTCGCGAACCGGTTCGCGGATCGAATTAATCGAACCGGAACTGAACCGGAACAAAATAAATTTACCTGAACCTGAACCGTAACCGAACCGGTATTTTTTTCGGTTCGACACACTGCTAAAAAGGTTCTCTGTAGAGACGCTTTACTTAAGGGTAGCGACTGCCAAGGAAATTTGGGGGCTCAGGGCTTCCCCAGCATACCCACGTATGTCCCCCAAGCTCCCAAATTTCCTTGACCGCCCCTGGCCCCAAGTGAATTGCTTTTGCATATCCAGCGCCATACTACTTCAGCAAAGCTGAGCCATGCACTGATGCATAACTACGAGTCAGAAACACCCTTGTGTGCTCTTTAAGAGGCCGTAAAATAAATTTCCGGCTGGGTAACTGATTTTAGATTGGGGTTTTACTAATTGCACATCATTTACTGGGCGATAGGAAAACTAGTACACGAAAATAGAAAGCCGAAAGCCTGTTTTTTGCTGCAAAGATTTCAGAAATATGACGGACTGTTTTGTACCGCCTTTTCTTCAAAAGCTCTCCGCCTTTTCACTGTGGTCATGTCAGTTAAACCCAGCACTGCGTCATTCGGAAGTATGCGCTCGTCAACAGTCAGTTTGTACACAAATATTTGAATTCTCCTTCGCGGCCAATGGTTTTCGTGACGGCACTTATCGTCACTCGCTAATGGTAACTTCCGTGGTGTGCTTAGAAAGCGCGGTGGAAGCTTGGAGTCATCGGTTCCGATGAAATACTGAGTCACGACCACGTGATTTCGCTTTTGAGTTTGAGGGGAAAGCTAAGGAGGAAGAAATAGAAAAATCATGTCATTGTCCCTCAAAGGGATCCTGGCAAGGTATTTATGCCCGCCAAGGTTTTTATTTGTACATGATATACGAGAGCCCAACTACCCAAAACACAACTTGTGGCTCAAAATTTTTTTTTTTTTTTTTCGTTTGAAAATTGTTGATTGGGAACTGGCCGGTTTGAGTCGCGCTCACTTTCTTCTCTGTGGTCATGTGCCGTTTTTTTATGATTTAGACACAACCACCAAGTATAATCAAAGTCGTGGATCATTGAAGACCCACATTCAATATTATAAATAGAAAAAAAATATGATGCCCATTTTTTGTGGCTTGTAAAAACATACAAATACGCTGATTGAAGAAAAAAAAAAGTTGTGCAGCCACATTACTTCTGCCAACTCTCTCTTCCTCTATATTTCTTCTTCCTCCCCAGTTCAGTTTCGATTGCAAGCAGTTGCATTTTTTTTACTTCATTAAAAACATATGCGACACTGTAGCTAAACATTGATAGCGTAGTCGTCTGACACCATAATAAATTGCCTGGCAAAAAATGAAAAAAAAAAAAAATATTTTGAGGGATGACAGTGTTTTTTTTAATAGTTGCAAGGCCGTTAGGCTTCTGCACTGTTTTGTTTTATCGGTGCAAAAACCAAGTGGGGCTCCTTGAGATGGAAAAGTATGGGAACGTCTTGTCTAAAGTATCAAGCAGCCCATTCATTGGCTCTCATTGGAGCATCGGGAAGTGGCTGCTTCGTGTGAAGCCAGCTGAAGGGTTGTGCCGGTAGGACCCCGTGTGAGCCGCGGCCGTTCACCTTGCAGGGCCGCCTTACACGACGGACGAGCACATTGTGTACAACTGCGGCAAGATGGTGATCCTGGACAAGCTGCTGCCCAAGCTCAAGGCCCAGGGTTCCCGGGTGCTCGTGTTCTCACAGATGACGCGCATGCTGGACATCCTCGAGGACTACTGCCTGTGGCGGCGCTACGGCTACTGCCGCCTCGACGGGCAGACGCCCCACGAAGAACGAACGGTGCGTGTAGCGACTCACGCGTTCAAACTTTGCACCGGGGTTCTTCCGAAAAAGGGGACAATAGCTGCAACTTTCTGCATTCTTAACACTCTCTCTGCCGCACGGCAGTTATATTAATGCTCTAGCCTTAAGGAGCTCGTGTCGCAAAATGTCCGGCGTCCGTGTCGGTGGGACGTGGAATTCCTGATTGGTCGATAGGGTCACGATGTCACAGCCATAATACCTCGCGTGAAACTTTCAAACAACCCGCAACGTTCACGTGCAACATGACGTTACGTGGGGAATGAAAATGATTAAAACATGACGTGTAATGTGAATTAAAGGCTGCCGCATGTCTCAAGTGATTTCCCTTTATAAAGTAATTTCTTCAAGAAAAAATTTGAAGAATTTTAGGCGGGATTTAAACCCACCACCCTTCGGTTGCTAGCCAGACACATTACCGACTAGGCCACGCAGACATGCTTGCATGGGTTGGGAACGAGCGGGGGTTTATATGTTTAGCTATTGCAGGCACGTAGTCGGGGGAGACCCATGGGGGCCCCCCCCCCCCCCCAAAATCCTTCATTTTGCTGGGAACTCCTCTTCCCCTCCCCCTCATACAGCATTTTGTCATTTGCGTTCCACTCTTAAAAGGGCCCTGCAATGACTTTTTTGCTAATTTTTAGTTTGCACTGAACCTGAGTGCACTGAACGTAGTAACTTAGTGAAACTAGAGAAGTAGTGAGCTCATCGAGTGCTCACGGCTGCCATACTCTGTGTCGACGGCGCGAGAGGGCGCCATTGAACCGTGTTCTGGGTAGGCTGTATGCAGCGGGCAGCCAGAGCGGCTCTCATTGCATTTGCTGCGCGATTAAATATTAATTCGGCTTGACACTTCATTGTCCACAAACGACAGCAGACACGGGGTAAAGATCAGTTCAGAATGGGAGCTACTTTGCGCTGCCATACCGCAAAACGTCCAAACCGCAAGACAAAGCTTCTTGCCTAAGGCCTTCGGAACGCTCGGAGCTGGTCGGATCCTCCTGCCCATACAACCGCAGTGCCGCCACGTACATCCGGGACCTTTCCGTGTCGGCGCCTGATCCCATTACTCCTTTCTAGTATGCGCCGCATTTTTCACCGTTTGGTGGCGGGTATGTCGACGGGTCATTTCTTGTTTCCATACTTTATGAACTGCATTTGTTTCTTTTTTTTATCTAAAATACTGAACAAAAACTACTTATATAAATAATTGAAACGGTTCGCGCCACTTATATTTTGTATTTCGACAAAAAAGAAGCTTTTAGCGGCTCTGACCAGTAGTAAGCCCAGGACCAAAGACGTCACATTTTGCGCGTTTTCGGTACCGCGGGTCGCCCTCGTTGGTGGAGGAGGTTTCCGCGTCGTCCGGTTAAAATATGACGCACTGATATTTAGTTACTCTCTCCGTGCCCGCTGGCTTGCCCGAACCCCAAGAGACGCGGAAGCTGCAAAAAAGGTAGACTCCTAAATATCATTGCAGGACCCCTTTAAAGGCGAAGCTTGAGCATTCTCCTGTAATTTTCTTTTCAGGAATCGTGCGGTTCAGTTGCATAGTGCCACACAAATCTGCCAACCTTGACAATCTGGGGTATCATGTATTTTCGAAATCTGCATCATATTTTCCAGTGAAGGCAAAATGTAGAGGTGGTTTGGATGCAGTAGAGATGGGCAGTCAGCCAGACTGGTTTGGCGGCTAAACCACTGCCACCCACCATGGAAAGAACCCGGCTTTGCACTGAAACTTCTCATGCCATCACTTGCGCGTCACATTCTCTTCTGGTGTAAAAAAAGACATGGGAGCTTGTCACCAGAAACTCGGCATTGTGTCGAGTTATAGGTGGTGACTTTGGTAATCTGGGGGGTCATGAGTGCACTTGTGTATTCCGAGTTTTTGAAACATCCTTTTCGGGGAAAGGATGTTTATGTTTGCCACAGCCTCAGACCAGGGAGAAAAAAAAACAGTACAGGTTTTAGGAACGAAAAAGAACATGTCATGGGGCTGTTTCTTTTTCACATTTCACATATTGAAGTACTTGTGGAGGCTAGATGACAGCTAAATGACAGGTAAAACTACTGGTGTTATGAACTGTCCTCTTCTGCTATTGGGGATATCTGTCACTATTAATCTGAGCTTTTATATTATGCCCTGATTTTTTTCGTTGCTCATCATGCAGCATTCTTTGGGCTTTTTAGGGAAAGTTTTCTTTTCTCTTTTTCTGTTTCTTTTTTCTAGTTATTGCATCTTTTTACACCACCAGCTTATGCAGCATTTTCAAGATAATAATAAATAAGTAGCCCGCCTTGTACAGTAGCCACTAAATGAGAGGCTTGAGAGAAGTATACTCTGCTCTACTCAAGCCCGAGTGTCAAGAACCAGTGCAATATCTGTAACCTGCATTGACAGGAAGTCACATGTTATTCTTTGGGGCAAATCTAGTTTTATGGGGAGAACAGGCAGTTGCATTTTATTACAGATGGTTACTTTGTTTCTAATTGTATCAATCTGCATCACTGTGCCTCATGTATAGGCACAGTGATGTGCCTATACATGAGGCTTATACATGAGGCATGTGCCTATACATTATCTATGTGCACAGAGCTAAGTGATGGTGATGACAATATTAATGACAATTTGGTGTTCTCTCCTGTGGACAGCTTTCCATCAATGAGTTCAACCGACCCGGAAGTGAGAAGTTCCTGTTCATGCTGTCGACGCGTGCGGGAGGTCTTGGCATCAACCTGGCCACCGCCGACGTTGTTATCCTCTTCGACTCTGACTGGAATCCCCAAGTGGACCTGCAGGTAACCCCCCTCGTTCTAGGGATATCTCTTGCCTTTCCAACTACCCCTTTGCTCTTTTCCACGAGGAAAAAGTGGTTTATGTTTGTTTTGTCGTCTTCAATTTCTTCTAATTTTATTTGATATAAGTTTACTCTTGCTGTATCATCCATGTGGTGCTACCTTTATTTTATAAACTTTGGCAGCCCCCAGAAAAGAAAAAAAACGTATCAACTTCAGAATTTGCATTTTGATAGGTTTCGAGATATGCAAAATGATGACATCGAGCTTCCTTTATATTTTTCCAGCTTTAAGGAGTAGTACCCGAATGCTCTGGCCCTGTTTGTCAAAGCAACCAAACACACCGTGTGTATGCTTTGAAGTAGTATGTACCATACCTTGAAATCGAAGGTGCATGCTCGTTTCTGTTGATTCGCTTATCTATATGTTAAACTATGTGAAACTTTAACATGCATTAACATTTTTTTTTTACTTGCTTGAGCTGACGTGCAATGTCTTGTGCTCGTTGTAACTGGGAAGCCCTGTGATTGGTGCAGGCAATGGACAGGGCTCATCGGATTGGACAGACCAAGGCAGTGCGGGTGTTCCGTCTCATAACGGAGAACACCGTCGAGGAACGCATTGTGGAGAGGGCAGAAGTCAAGCTACGGCTGGACACCGTTGTCATCCAGCAAGGTTTGTTTCGATTCCGCCTTCTGTTTGGTGTGCTACCCACATTCTAGGTTTTCTTGGATGGTCTTTGCTTGAGCGTTTGTGTGCATGAATGATTGTTTAATCAAACTTTTGCATTGGAGATTCTGTTTTATATTGATGTCGAGGGACGATGAAAGGTTTCCGTTTGATTGAAAGAAGCTACCCTGTTTTCCTGCATGTAAACTAGGGTAGTTGTAAGTGAGTGACCTACAGTAAATCTTATAGTGTCCATATTGCTAGAGACTTATAACTGCTTAAGGACCGCCTGTATAACTAATCACAGTTAAATTTGAATTGTGTTGGTTTTAGGCATGTCGAACTTGCAGTAGAAATTGTGACACAGTGCCATTCTAATTTGAATGTCCTCTCATTCTAATTGAGCTTGTAGTGACTTAGCTTTTAAAACTGAGCCAATAGGATAGTAAGCTAAGCGAGTTGGTAGACTGTAGACATAATGAAAAAATCTGAGCGCAAGGACGAAAACAGAAGAGAAACACGGAAGACACAGAAATGCTGAGTCGCAAGTAAAGTGTTAATGAAATGGAAGAGGAAAATCTTTCCATAGCAAGCACACTGATGACTCAAGGGCCCGACAGATAGTCAAGCGTATGTAATTGGTAGTTTGGGAGAGCAATGTGTCGGCCAGCTTTTTGCCGATTTTGTTGGATAAGGAGACGTCTGTTATGGTCAACACATTCAACAGGGTACACACAGGTCCTTGAAAACACTAAAATTAAAAAAAATTGGGTGTTCAAGGCCCTTGAAAGCCCTGAATTTTTTGCTAGACCTTGAAAACTCTTGAATTTGAAAATTTGGCTTGCAGGTCCTTTGAAAGCCCTGGCTTTTTTGGCTAGACCTTGAAAATTCGTGAATGGCTATTTTTAATAGCAAATGCGAGTATACATTGTACATTTTTTTACGTGCTTATCAATTTCTTTTTCTCGCTTCGGTCCAAATTTTTACTATTTGTTTAGGTTTAGCTGATGCTCATTGGATGGTTGGCCACATTGAAGCAGATCCGAATCCAATCTGATCCGGGAATGCTTTACGCACTGTTTCCGCCATTGGCCTCGTGTTTTGTCATCGGTCGTAGGAAAATGTCCGGCAAAAGCAGGTTTGAAGGTGCGTGGCTCTGCAGTGATGAATATAAGGACTGGGTGGCACCAGATACGACAAATCAGCATCGCGCAAGATGCAAGCCGTGTGAAAAAACCTTCGATGTCGCCGCCATGGGCCACTCTGTGTTGAAAAGTCATATGAAGAGCGCAAAACATTCCAGCATCATGAAGATCGCAGCCAAGAGTTTGGTGCAAAATTACCTGGCTAAACTTCAAAAAAGCAAGGCCGAGGAGCTGCTTAGCATCAGCTAGCAAATACAGGAAAAGCTGTAGGAGCTCCCCTGAAGTTACCGCAAGCAGTTTTAAAACCAATTTTTACTTCGACTTAGTTCAATGCAAACAAATTAAAAAATATATATATATTTTTTTTTGTAGTGCAATAAATTTGATATCTGCAATCTTTTGACAACAATGTTTTATGGAAATTTGCTACGTGTGGCATCAAGTTGGGTCGTTGAAAATTCTCCCACAAGGCCTTGAAATTCCTTGAATATCCTTGAATTTCTTTCTTTGAATCCTGTACGAACCCTGTTCAAGGGGCTGTTCTCTAATATCTCATGTACCCTGACCCCTGGTGCCACCTGAACCACTGATGCACTTGCTGTAGGGGAATTCACTCTTTTTCCATTTCATGTAATGTGTTAGTTGCGAGCCAGGGGACGAATACAGAGCCTTTTCTCTGTCCTCGCCCTTGTGTGCTGTGTTCTTTTTTTTCTTTTTTTTTAATTGAGCTGATAGGCGAGGAAGGACAACTGGTGAGCACAGTTGTGCTTAAAACCCTGAGACGAGTGAAGAAAAGGATAACAGGATATTGTCAGCCACAAAACCATCATTTGGATCCCCCCCTCCATTTAATGTAGGATGGTTGTCACAGCGTATTGATTTTAGTAAAAGGCTAACCCAATGTTGCATTAGGGGTTTTCGCTTTTGTCTTGTAATCAAGTTCCAACACGTCTGATGCCTGTCGGTTCTCGCAGGGCGCCTGGTGGACGCCCAGGCGAAGCTGGGCAAGGAGGAGATGCTGGGTATGATCCGGCACGGGGCGGACCACATCTTCGCCTCCAAGGACAGCGAGATCACGGACGAGGACATAGACGCCATCCTGGAGAAAGGGGAGCGCAAGACGGAGGAACTCAAGACCAAGCTCGAGTCTCTCGGGGAGGGCTCCCTGCGCAACTTCACCCTCGACACCCCGCAGGAGTCCGTCTACAAGTTTGAGGGCCAGGACTACCGAGAGAAGCAGAAGGTACCGCCGTTCACGCAGCCGTCCTTAGCGGTAGCTGCACGCGTTGTACTGGAGTTTGTCATGAAAGTCTGATCCCATTAGCAACTGTTCTTTTTACACCAGGATCTAGATTGCATCGGCCAGCGAACCTTTCAGACCTATCCTGAAAGGGTGGTTCACAGATTTGTGCTCGACTTTGATTGACTATGCGCAGACTACTTATGGTGTATTCATGCAACGGAGTTTCTCTTTGAGGAGAGAATTCAGTGTTGTCAAGTTTTAAGGTCACATGCACCACGTCACCTATGTTTTGCAAATCACCCGAATCCGCGAGTAAGTTGCGGAGGATCCATGGACCGAACTATACAATGTCCACCATCCCATCAGAGTTGCCGGACCCTTTCCTTTTGGTAAAAGGTTATAGTCAGCTGCACTGAGGTGCAGGGTGACCTTCTTTCTTTCTTTTTTTCCTGCTTTTTTTTTTATTTTGACTAGTTTGCAAAGAAAATCTTTATTGACCACATTAGATGCAACTTGCTGATGCGATCCTCGCTTTGATTCTGTGAACGGCTTCCTGCTTCTCTCTGCTTTTTCTCCTTGCTTCTGCATGATGTATTTAGTTTTCTCCGGAGATAAAGGTCTGTCGTGTGAATAAAACATACAGTGTCTGTCAGATAGCTTTAGTACCCTCTTGATCATAAGTGTAAAACGAGGGGAGGGCTAATTTCCAAACTGTGCTTTTGTGGTCTCGCAGCTAATGCATGTGAACGCCCAATTTATTTCACAATATGTCATATTTATTTCCTCATCAGCTTTCTCAGTTGAGTTTTTATGAATACAGAGCAGGTCCTTCTACAGCGGAGCTGGTAAGGGCTAGTTTCCCCGGTATTGTGTCCGCAAGCAAATAAATGTCGCAACATAACTCTGGACAGCTACTGCCATCTATGAGCGACGGCGGCAACCAGACAACGGGGCTTGCTGGTTGTCTGGTTGCCGCCATCGCTCATAGATGGCGGCAACCTTTCCAGTCTTTCCACTCTGGTTTTCACAAGACTAGAAAGGCTGAATTCCTCGAGGCGTCATCCTTGAGGTCGTCCTAGACGTCATCCCTGAGGTCGTCCTAGGCATCGTCCTAAAAGTCGTCCTTGAAATCGTCCTAGACGTCGTCCTTGAAGTCGTCCTAGATGTCGTCCTCTAGGCATCGTCCTTGAGGTCGTAAAGATAACAGCTTCGCTGGTCCTCCTTATTCACGTAAAGTGAAAGGGCTCTACATTTTTTTATGTTTATTTTATTTTTATGACGACTCTTGTCTGTCCTTGCAGAGTGGCGGGCTGAATTGGATCGAACCGCCCAAGCGGGAGCGCAAGGCCAACTATGCGGTTGACGCGTATTTCAGGGAGGCCCTGCGTGTCAGCGAACCAAAAGCCCCCAAGGTGAGAGTGACAGAGCAGTTCTTAACGTGCCTCCTCACGTCCACAGTCCCTTCGCACCAAACCGACATCCGCTTTCATTTACGCACAGGCACCCAGACCGCCCAAGCAGCCGAACATCCAGGACTTCCAGTTCTTTCCACCGAGGCTGTTTGAACTGCTCGACAAGGAGATCTACTACTACCGCAAGACCATTGGCTACAAGGTGAGGGGTGAAAGCCCTTAGACGACGTCTGCCTTGTGCCTCGAGATTGCAAATGTTGGTTCCAAGGAGCCCAGTTTGAAAGGTCAATTAAGACGTTTATTGAAGACCTCCGCCTTTGGCTTGATTGACCAAGTGAACATCACATGTTGAATTTTTGTTGTTAAATTTATAGTCTTGTTGCTTATTAAAGGGAAGGTCAATAGGTTCGTAAAAAAACTGATTAGAGGTGAACACTGGCATATTTTTATCCCGTGAATCTAACTATCATATTCGTTTTCCCAGGCGTTGTAACTAAATGCGAAAAAACGCTAAAATCTCCAACCAGTTGTGATGTCATGCCAGTATCTTTGGGCCGCCAAGCGCGTGTTGCTTGTGTGGGCAGCATGTGCAATTGCAAGCTTGCCAGGTATATTCCCCCGCACTGACACCAGTCGTGATATCTTTTTTTGACCTTTTTGCAAATAGCTAGAGTGCGCATGCACAGCCCTGATGAGCGCCGAAGATGCGCGAGAGCGGAGATTCCGAAAAACTTTTGATGTGACGTTACGCTCCTGAAAGGAGGGTTTTTGGCGGTACTTTGAATATGATTTTCTGCAGCCTCCATTCACCAAATTGAAAAATAATCTCAATATTCGTGATCCTGGAGGTCAAATGAAGACGATTTAAGTGTTCTTTCTCAAATGCAGAACCGCTTCAGTTTTCCTTGTCTTCTCGTTACGTTGTCAGGTCCCGAAGAATCCCGACCTTGGCTCGGATGCCAGCCGCATTCAGCGAGAAGAGCAGGCGAAGATAGACGAGTCGGAGCCACTCACCGAGGAGGAGCTCTCGGAGAAGGAGAAACTGCTGACCGAGGTGGGACGCTTTCATGAATTCCTATCAACTTGTGTCTGTGTGTGTCACGAAAATGCGATGCTGACTTCGGATTCCCTGCATGTCTTGTAACGACAGGGTTTCACAAACTGGGCTCGCCGAGACTTCAACCAGTTCATCAAGGCCAACGAGAAGTACGGCCGCGACGACATCGAGAGCATTGCACGGGACGTTGAGGGAAAGACGCCAGAAGAGGTGCGTGCATCGGTGTCCATTCTTTCTTGTTTCTGAGGCTGCCTAAAAATGCAATAGTGTTACTTTGGCGGTGGTTTTCGAATATTGCTCTTGCGCTGTGCGACACTATTTGCGTAAAAACGACATTGGTGTTGCTTCGGATTTTACTTACAAAGGGTAGTGCAAGCATCAAATTTCTTAGAAACATCAAAAGATGGCCCACTTCCAGTAGTTGCAGGGCCGTGGCCAATGGTGACCTCTGTAAAGACGCTGTTACTTAACCACGGCGAAAGATAAGCAAACATTGCTGACTGAGAAGAACAGTCGTCTTTGGTTCATCGCCCCTTCCTGCGGTCACATGTTTTGAGGGCCACAAAATCTAAAACTAGCAATCTTTCAACTTTTTCTTACGGGACACCAAAAGCTAGCTTACCTCTTATTTTCATCAAATTTGCTATCGATTTTAGATGGGCCATCTCTCGGGATACTACGGTAATCATGTTGCACAGTGTACACTAGAAACAAAATCTTTTGCTTATCCAGTTTAAGTTTTTAAGAATGAGTCATTCGCATAATTAACAGCAAGTTCATTGAATATTTTTCGGGAAACGAGACGCAGGTTTAACAAGGCACATCCATGCACAAAGGCATACCTCGTACACAGCGAATTTTGTAACGACTTCTTGTGCCGTCTCCTCTTCAGGTGATGGAATACTCGGCGGTGTTCTGGGAACGCTGCCACGAGCTGCAGGACATCGAGCGGCTGATGGCGCAGATTGAGAAGGGGGAGGCACGCATCCAGCGCCGGGCGTCCATCAAGCGCGCCCTGGACGCCAAGATGGCGCGCTACCGGGCCCCGTTCCACCAGCTGCGCATTGCCTACGGCACCAACAAGGGCAAGAACTACACGGAGGAGGAGGACCGCTTCCTCGTCTGCATGCTGCACAAGCTGGGCTTTGACCGGGAGAATGTGTACGACGAGCTGCGGGCCGCCATCCGCCAGGCGCCCCAGTTCCGCTTCGACTGGTTCATCAAATCGCGCACTGCCGCTGTGAGTGGTTTTTTCTTCCTCTCGCATTGTTTTGCCCCATGTTGTTTTTGTCGGTGTGTGTGCGGTGTTTGGAGCACGTCTCGGACCAGTGTGACCGGCCTATACACCTGGCGGGTGTATGCGTAGAGTCTTTAGGAAAACTGCGCCGCGGTCAATGAGCCATTGATTTTACAAGGAACCCGTGCACCTCACAAGTGTCGCCGGACAAAACCCTCACAATGGCTCCCTTTGTCGACGAATGTTGCCCATGGGCAACAAACCATGTAATAATTTTTGTGTTTGTTTAGTAGTTTCCATTTGATCACATTTTTTAAAAATCTAGTAGTCTGGCAACTGTCTTCAAGATAGAAAGTACAGTGCCATCTAGCAAAAAGATGCGCAAATAGTTGACGAGAAAAAAAGGAGTTTGTTGTGCAAATATGGGTGTTTTTCTCTTGTCACTAATATTTTTTGATAGGTGGCTGTTTTATTTGAGGTTGTCATATGCGGAGACATTATGGACATTTTATAGTGATCTGCAGAGGTTGCGCAAGGGAGCCACTTTCGGAAGTTTGTCTGATGTTGCAGAACAAAGCTATAACTTGCAACCTTAACGCTTATTTCTTTAAATTTCACCTCTGTTCTTATATCTTAAAAAAAATAGATGTTTTAAGGGGGACACTACCCAGAGAAAAAATTTTCTGCAAAAAAGTTGATTTTGAAAAATGTCATATTTATATCCACCAGCACCTGGAGAGTATTTCCAGAAAGCTTCATTAGTTTACACCGCATAGTTAATTTTTTATAAATTATTTTCGGTCCATTGAAGCTAAAGAAAAGGTAGGGGTTAGAACACTTTGAACACATTTTTCTCCGTTCCACATTTTGGCATAAATTTCATTTTAGAAAAACTATTGTTTGTTAATGGGACAAGAGGAAAGACTCGCTTATTGTTTTTCCTAAGTGGAATTTTATGGGCAGTGCAACTATGGAATTGTTTTTTGACTTTGTGGATGTCTTTTATAAAAGATGTTAAGATTTTGTGCTTGACATAAAAGGCAAAAAAAATTATTTGATTTTTCACTGCGATGTTAGCATGAAGTAAATTCCTTTTTGGAAATTTTCTTTTCACAGCTGCACTCTCTAGGCATTCTGCTGCAGATCTAGAGTAGAAAAATGTTTGGTATTCGTTAGTTTCCTGACAATAGTTTTCCTGAGCAAAGTCGGTGTGTTCCTGATAAAAATGACTACATGTACACTGATAAAACTTGGCACTGCATTCTGCCTTGCAACTTCCAGTATATACTCTAAATTTCATTCATATTAAGCCTTAGGTTAAAAAGTTAACACTATTGGGTAGTGTCCCCCTTAAGCAATTTTTGTATACTATCTTGTCAATAAAGCGTTTATGCAAGGTGCTCTATTTGTGGAGGAGTTGGAATGAAATGCCAAAATGTTTGACATGCAGGAGCTCCAACGTCGCTGCAACACGCTCATCACTCTCATAGAGCGGGAGAACCAGGAACTTGAGGAGAAGGAGAAGGCGGAGCGCAAGCGCAGGGGCGGTGGACGTCCAAGCACTCCCAAGGTCGGTGGCAAGGATTCCCTAAAGCTTCGTGCCCTTGTGGCACTCTTACAAAACCGACATACAGGGTTTGGCTGAAAAACTTGTGCCATTTTTGAGGGAGAGGATTCCTTGTAAGAGGGAGCAACAATCTCGGAGGGCGTAATATGAGCTGCCACAATGGAGTAGGTGAGAGCATTAAAGGAGCTGTGCAACGATTTCAACGTTGAAAGAATTTGCATCTTCTGCTTTTGATATTGTTCACCTTGTCACGAATGACAGAAAACACACCTCCTTTCATCGAAATGTTGGGGTTCCGACGTGTAATAGCGAGGCCAAACTTAGAATATTCCCCGACCTGCAGCCGCGAGCGGTCGCCATGAGAAACGCGCGGCGTGACGTTAATGGGGAATCTTGTAGAAAGATAGCAAGTTGTGCGCATACCTCCTCGATAAAAGGTAACTTTTCTATAAATCTTGTCATTCCAACATATATATAAATGCGTCTAAAACCTGGTATCGTCGATAAAATCGATAAAACTTTTATTATACGGAGTTTTAGTGGCGCCATCTATCCTAGGTCCACAAAACCGTCAGCTCTCTCTGCTACCGCGAACAGCCGCCAGAAGCCAAAAGGGGGAGAGGGACAGGGCCAGAAGGGTATGGCTGGACCCGGATGAGACTTTCCTCCTTTCACCATATTGTTTGCGTGGTGCCCGCCAGCACGTGGTCACGTGGTCGCGAGTGGATGAGTTCTCACTGCTCACTGATGGCTCTAAAGAGAGAACGTTTCCGGAACGTCGCGCCTACCCCGTCAACGTCACTGCGTATGTGACCCTGAAGACGACGTACAAGTTGAGAGGCGGCAAAAACCTGGATCTTTTTCAGGATCTTTTTCATTTTTTTAAATAAAAATTGGGGGATCCAGCAAAATCTGTTTTCTGTAGTTCACTTCAGAAGTGTCAGGCATTAACTTCCACAATAATTTAAGCAAAGCCCTGAAATTGTTGCACAGCTCCTTTAAAGAAGCTATGCGAGAAGCCTTGGGTGCATTCAGGCTGATACGAGAGGTACATGAGAGTGAACAGCCACAGCCACCATTTTTAGGCCCATATCCACCCCGAGACTGCAGGAAGCAGAACGATGCACGTGCACAAAGTCTCTAACACAGCAGAGACTGTGAGCTGTGGTAGAGACTGTGTGTGTATATGTATTGTTTTTGCTTCCTGCTGTCTCAGTGTGAAGTTAAGAATAGTGATCTCCTCCAGCTTTGTCTGTGCTCTGATTTTTTGTTCACTTTTCTAATATTCTTATTGGGGCATTCAATTCCATGGCTTCATACACCGAAGGCATCACCCCATTCAATGTATTACCCCATCGGCTATTGCTTAGTTGTGCCTGCTCATATACCGCCCACTATACAATGGACCAGTGCCAGTAGCTGTGTCAGCGGCGCCAGTCGGCTGTTGGACAGAACAGCATTTTCTGAATATCCTCCGATGCCGATTAGACACCAGGTAGAGATTAAATTGATGCTTCGAACTTGTTGCCCTCTACACAATTTTAGATGCATAAAAACTGTTGACTCGAAATCACTTTCTTGAAAGAAATGCTTCTCTGGTCCCAAGCCCTTGATCCCAGGTTTTGTTTAGTGGAATATTGTACATAATCTCTTATTTTTTGTCATAGTTGCCATTTGTGGTGGGTGCTGGAACCGTTTGTTTTTAGACTTTGGTTCGTCGTAAACTTCTAAACCTAGCGGTTTGAGTGTCTGTGAACAGGTGGAAAGCAAAAGTTGCCCCTTTGACGTGCTGGCATGGCAAAGGTAACAGAGAATGTGATGCGTTAGTGTGGAGAAATTGTGTACTCGTGTGGAAACTGGATGGTGCGAAGAGGCCCCGTGTCATGCAAGGTAAGCGCGTGAGCTCTCCATGGATGTCTTACTTGTGGGTGCCGTCTTCTGTGGTTGCAGTGTAAATGTGATTTTCTCAGAGCCTTCTAGAGTGTGAAACGCAGTAGGTGGGGCGTGCTGAAAACGAAACAATTCGAAAGCACCAAGCAGAGCCCTGGTGCCAACTCCCAGTAAAAGAGAGCCAAATACTCGAATTAGAGTCTATATCTCGACCCATTTTGACAAAGGAGTCTGCTTTCTTTTATCCGATTTTCGGTGGCACTTTATCTAGAGAAGCCCGTTACGTGCGCTCGTTTTAAGGAGCAGAGTGCCACTACATGTCTGAACACGGGGTGTTTTACTAGTGCCGGTAGTAATATGGAGGCACTCATGGAAGAGGCCCTGCTGGCACTGGTATCCAACCAGTGAGGTGACGAGCGCTGCACCAGTGCTTGTCTGGCAGTCGACCCGTTGACTTATGTTGCTGGCACTTAACTAAAATGGTTAGGTGCCAGCTATATAGCACACTTTGTTAAAAGAAACTGACAGTTTTTTTTTCACTCAAATCATTTTTCTTTCCTGTTTCATTTTATCCACAGGGGAAGCGCAAGATGGACGGAATGCCCGAAGGCCGCAAGAAGAAGCGGAAAACTCAGTGAGCGAAACGAAGGCTTTGAGACGTGCGTCTGCTTTCGTGGCGGCGAAAACGGCGACGTGCACACGACTCCAAGACAAGATTGAGAGGGCATGCGCACGCGCGCGTGCAAGTCGAAGAAGAGGTTTTGTCTGCACTCTGTTCACTACTTCCATTTTGTCATCGTAGCCCGCATACCGTGGTCCCCGATATCGAGATACATAACTCCTCCGGTTTTTGTTTTAGTGCAACTATTTATTTTTCATTTGTTTTCCAACGAGACTTACGACGAGATGAGACAAGGCAACAACGCAAAACGATCCATTCCTATTTGCCAGTGCTGTCACAATAAATGTGTATGTGTTAAAGGAACAAACTGTGGTTTGAGAGTTTCTGGTGCAGGGTTCTTGACTTCATTGAGAATTATCTGGACACCTGGTAGACCATGCATGTTTTTCAGGAAAGGTCTTCTATATATTGGTACCTCTAATGCATCTACAAGTAGTACAAGTACACTTCAACTTTGTTTCACTATACCCATACCTTTGCTATGGAGAAGTACTTTGAGGAACTTAATTGTATGAAATCACTTGGTAATTCTTTTGGCTTTATTCAATTTCATAGGTTTGCCTTCCACATGTTTTATTTATGCGTCAAGATTGCTTCATTTGCGGCAGCATCAACGTGCGTATCTATAGCCGGTGACGAGAGCTGCGGGCTTCTTGGCATGTCACTGACCATAGGTGTGATAAGGATGTGTATTATGCAACTATAAAAAAAAGACGTTTGCAAGGCATGTTGCACGAGATGTGCCTCCGTTAGCCATTTTATGTCGTATAAACCTTATTAAACCTTTGAAACCAAGATATAAACACAAGAAGAGTACAGGAGAGAACTAGGCCTTTTTGCAAGCCAGCGGAAAACACTGGCATATCTTCTGTAAATATTGAACAAGTTATAGAATCCAATGTAGGAGAGACTTCCTGGCAGCCTCGGGAGCGTCTTGTTTAAACTTAACACATGAAACAAACAATTGTGTCGCTGTACTAAAGCTCTGGTCTCCTGGCTAGTACGAGAACATAGTTGACGGCCCAAGTGTAGCTGCCATCTTTGTTTTTCTTCATCTTCTTGAGCGCCACTTTTGTGAGCTCGCGGACGAACGTCGGCTTGTGGTATTCAGGCACCAGCTGGATTGGCTTCGCAAACATGTTTTCCAGAAATTCTGTGCAGAAAAATGTAAGATGCTTGTTACTCTAAGACAGCAAATTATTAAAAGTAACAATCTAGTTGCAGTTAATCCTGACTCTTTTGCTGGAGCATGCCATATTCTGTGGTGATTTTGAGCATGATCCAATATCTTTGTTCTTTTTTTTATTTAGTCACTGGCTGTCGACCAGCTTATCTTTCTACCTTAATATGCTTTTGATTTCTGCATTTTGTATTGACCGATATGGGCCTATTTAATAAGAAGCTCTATAGTCAAAGATGGATGGCTGAAGACGTTCATCATGGCTCTACTCCTACGTAGACCTGTCGGCCATGTGTAGGGAGCCGTTGATAGAGGAATTGCATCTTCTTTGTTGTTTCTACATGCAAGATCAAATTCAGCACAATGCCTGATTTCTGGTCCACTCAAATTCATTATTTGAACAAACAAAGTTTGCTGTTAAAATTTTCAGTTGAGTTTTGTTCTTGTCTGGTCAGCAAAACTGTTCACCATACCTTTGTATTCTGCCTTAGAGGCAAACTTGTACTTGAATTCCAGCTGCTTTGTCTTGAGTACCTGGTAGCCCACTTGTTCAAGGAGTGCCGAGTAAATTCGGTCAGCTTGAGGGTGGTGGAACCACAAGCGGTTGAAGTTCTTGTCAACCATGTCTGCAATCAGCTCTTGGATTGTCTGCGGTTAGTATCGTAAGCAACCGTTATATGACTTGTAAAGCATTACTTATGCCACATCTATACCAGTTCTCACCTAAAAAAAAAGCAAGTTTTGAACATTTTTTTATGTGCGTTGCAGAGTAGTTTTTAGGAGATTTGATTGTCGGAGGAAAAAGCAATGCTTTTGAGGTTTGGAACTTGTACGTCTTCATAAGATAACATGTATATCTAAAATTCACCTATCTTATTTATGAACATAAAGGAGGAAATTTTTAATGCTCCGCGAGGAGCCAGACTTTTTTTACTACAATTCTTAAGATAAAAACTTTTTTTTTTTCAAAATATATATATTTTTTATTTTACCTGGAGGAATGCCTAGTTACCTTGAGTGACATCTGATTGCCCCCTCCCTTCACTCAACCCAAATATTGAAAACATTTTTACGGTACATTCTCTTTATATCCAAGCAACACATGGTTCAGCTATGCCTGATGAACTTCAAGTTGTAAATATCCTATGTGATTGAGATAAGTTTTGTAGTTGAGGAAACCGCAACAATCCGAGAAAGCCCAAAAAACGAGTTCAAGAGGGTCACGTCTCACGTGCTACGTTTTAAAATGAAGGCGCGACTTGCAGTGTACTTTACTGAACTAGTGTCGAGACAAATATTCAACAGTACTTAAACACAATAAAAGGCCAAGTATCGGGAGCTGAGGTCTACCTCAAAGTACTTCTTCCAAGAGGATGACTGCAGCACTTTCACGGCGACATGGTGGAGATCGGCAGGCTTGGCAGCTGGCACGGCTATGAAGCACCTGCCTCCTGGCCTCAGGCACCACATCAAGTTCCTCAGGGCCTTAGGCTGATCCTTGACGAAGAGAAGAGCGTGGGACGAGAACACCCAATCGAAGCGGCCGCCCCACTTGAGCTCGAACGTGTTGAGGTCTTCCACGTTGGCGACTGCGAAGTCAGTCTTCTCGTCAGCGTGGATGCTGAACGCATAGTCGATCGCCGCCTGATCGGTGTCGATGCCCAGGACACCGCTAATGAGTAAGGGAGACAGGCGTTCGACGAGTTGGTGGGTGGAATCTCCGCAACCACAGCCGATCTCCAGGACTAGGGCTTGTTCCCAGTCGCGGTCCTTCGTCAATCCCGCACATTCCGCCAGGAGCCTCTCTTGGAGACCGGACAGGTAGCCGTTTTCGACGCTGTTCTCGGTGCATATGCTGCTCACGGAGCTGTTCTTGCTCACACTTCTCGACTTTGACTGTTGCGGAGATTCCACGGTGAGCGTAGACGTCATGGCTGCGAAACCACGATGCTTCTTGCACTTCCGGGCAGTCGAGGATTTGAGAACGCCAAGGTGCTTCTGTGTTTTGAGGATGAATAAGATGGGGTGGGAGGAGGAAGTGGGTGGAGGGAGAAACGCCCGTGCCTTCTATTTTAGGGACTAGTCGGTGTTTGAGCCGGAGCGCACTATTTCGGGACATTTGCCAGAGCGGCCGGCAGGCCAAGCAGAGGCGGCTCTTATAAGTCTGTTTATTTCTCTGTCCTCCTTTCTCACGCGGTGGAACTAGGCTCTCGTTTATGCTGACTGCCCTAGAGTTGGCGCGTAAACTGTAGAACGCTGACACCTTGCAGGAGCGTTTCGAAATCGTGCTGATGTAAGCGAACCAGAGACACGCTGACGGCTGCGACGTATCAAACTGAAACCGAAACAAGAGAAAACTTGTCCACTAGCTAACCTGTATTTCACTTCTACTACTTTTACTTTTAATGCGTATACACTCTAAAATATTTATAGTTTATTTTATAATTATATTTTTTGTTTTTTGTAATTATATTTAGCGCGTTGTGCTATAATAACTTAAGTTTTTGCTTCTAGCGATGCTAGCGGCGCCACACTGAATATGGAAGTAAAGTTGAGAGGGGCCAAGCCGTGCAAGATAAATGGTACACACGCAAGATGGCACATCACCACGGAGAAGTCAACCTAGAGTTATTACTAAACGATGTAAGCTATTCGTTTCCATTTGCACGACTGTCTCTCTGAGGCGATTCAATGTATAGCGAGCTGTCGTTGGATACCACTTATCTTAGAACGATCGCAGTCGCTTGCCTGTGAAACTCGCGCTGACTCAGTTTTCTTTGCCGGTAAATTACTTGACAAGATTAGTGTTTTATAGATGGTCGCGAAATCTTCGTAATGATTTTGGATTCACGCGGATTTTCCTTTATTTGCTGCAAACCCATTCGTTGATTGTCACTACTATTATTCACAACATAAAGTTTCGTATACAATCTCCACTTTGCAGAAACAGCAAGTTCCGCTGCGGTTTTCCGCATGCTAAACATATCATTTCGGCTAGGAAAGAGAAAACACATTCATTTTTATGTTTCGCTTAGATCTTCTATTACTCATGCTATCACGGATCTCTATGTTTAGTTTTTGCCATGTCAGCTTACTCGAATAATTTTGATAAGAGCGTTTTTATTCCTTTACATTAATCATTTCGTGTCTCGCTTCCAGAGCATAGACCTTTCGAAATTATCCGATGAAGAAAGGTTTAGGTAAGTATGCATCATTGACACCTGATATCTCAGAATATTCTTCTCTTTTCAATAGCCTAACGCAGAATATTCTTCTTCTCTTTTCAATAGCCTAACGCATTAGTGACTTGTGTATTTTGTTTCCCCTTTTTACTACGTCGGGCGCACCCGTCATGATTAAATAACGTACACAGGATCGAGATGTGGGCGTGGTTTCGCCTCCGTATCTTCTTTATTAGATGACAGCACACCCGATAAGTAATAATAGCACAATTGAAGTCACTGTCTTCTCTTTGTTATTAAAAAAAAAGTAATTTTGAAAGTAGTAAATTATTGTACCAACAAGCCCAAAAAGTGAATAGATCACCAATGCTTCCAAATTTCTGGTCTTCTGCGTTAGAATTGTCTAACGACTCTCCTGTCTTGGCACTCGCATGCTGTCTTGAGCACAAATAACATGGTGAATTCCACTGGTCCTTTTGGAGCACGCCGGGATCAGTAGATGAGAGCCTAGATGGAGCATGCAATACAAACAGAGTCGCCACGCCTCCGGATCTTCAGTGCTACATGGCTACTGCTTTGGGATCGGCGGATTTCTTTCCGTCATTCACCTTCCCGGAAATCCCCATTCCGCGATCCCAGATCTGGAAGCATATGGTTTTACAATCACGGCGGTAACAACACATGTTGAACGCACGAGCAAAGTTAATCATGGTGTGTAAGGTGCGTGTTAATAAGCGATGTCGATATGCATCAGCGTAGCCACGTAGCCACGGTTTCCAGGTACGTCTCGATTTTCAGCGGTCTGAAAAACATTTGAATTTATGCGGGATGTACAAGCAATCCTCGTTGTCGCTGCTACTGGAGGTGCTGCTCAAGCAACTTGACAACGACCTGTCACCAAGCAGCAGCAGCAGCAGTAAAGCGGGCGGCACTTCGCGAGCGGCCATTACGAATTCTTCCGAGTCGAAATGCCCGGCGAGAAAGGAAGTCACGTGTGTGCGCTAAGGGCTGACCAGGCTGGCTCCCGGTCGAATCCGCCGAAAGTGGCGGAGCAACTTTTCTCGGATCCGGATCGGAGATCTGGAGTGGGAGCTGATCCAAAACGACGAGTGGATCACGTCCGTCTCGATCCCGATCGCCCAGTAAAATATGCATTTTCCAGAGAAGTCGATCCCAATGTGCTCCAAAATGACCAGTGAAGTTCGCTATTAGTCACTGACAAGGTGGGAACTGTGGGGCGCCCCTTAAAAAGGCAGATCCTTCAGCACAAACTTGTTGACCTTCGCAGTGCTTCGGCTGCGTGTGCATGCTTTGGGCTCGCAAAACGCTGAAGCACTATCGAAGCCAGGAAGCTTGTGCTGGAGGCTGGACGACTAAAACTACTCCCCCTGCTGTTCCCATTCTGTCTGTGACTACAGTAGAGCTGCCTTTTGCCTTTCCTTTTTGGAGTTGTTTTAAAAAGTGTGTGCCACGCCTCTGACAAGGTTGCCGTGGAATCATTCTCGCGTCGAGAATGATTGCGTCGACATGCTTGGGTCCCGAACGTGTGTCTGTTTTCAGGGTCGAACATGCGAGGATGCACGAAAAGCACAGAGGGCACGAGAAAATGCACGCCTACATGATTCTCATCCTGCTGGCCTCGGTCGTCGTAGCTCAAATAGTCCTGGTGCAGTGGAAGAAGCGACACTTCAAATCTTACCAGGTGCGGTTCCCTTTTGTTCGTGCATGGTGTTTCTGCTAGTCCCGTCTTTGGTTTTTATAGTGCAGCATACCCCAAAAAATAAGTTGAGGGAAACATTCAGAATTTCATATGCAGCTGCAATAAATTTGAGAGCAATTCTTGTATGTGCTGTGAACATGGAAGGGCATGTCCCTTCCCACGTCCTTGTTTTTTTTTTTTTAATGAAAAATTAAGTGAACTTGTGGAGTGTTGCATTTACAGTTGTTTTAAACAAGGGCTGGGCGGCACAGTAAGATGAACACATGTTGCGTGCTCTCTTGGCGGCATCTTTATTTCTCGTCTGACAATAAGGGGAGATTCTCAAGTCTTCTGGGACCGCAAGTATGCAAGTATCTGGATCAACAATGCCCATACCATAATGACACGCTTGTGTGGAGCCCTTGGAAGTTCCATCATGCCCCTCAGATTAGGATGTGTGGTCCCTTTTTATTTTTAAGGGGACTCGTTGGAAGCAAACATTTTGCCTAAAAGCTGCTGGTTTCATATTGTCTCATCGCATTCTCAAAATGTTTCATGAACTCTTGAGTTAATGAGCATGAACAAAACTACAGCAGGATAAAGACAGTTGTTCCTTCAGCACCAGGTGTTCGAAGTTTCGACAGGAACCTGCGGAAGACTTATTATAATATTCTGAGAGATAGCCCACCTAAAATCGAGAACAAATTGGGAGAAAATAAGGTGTGGGCTAACTTTCAATGTGCAATCAAAAAAAGTTGCGAAAATTCTATTTTTGGATTATGTGTCCGTGCCAAACATGTTATAGCGGCAAGTGGCAATGAAGCAAAGGTCACTGTACTTCTCAGTCAGCAATGTTCGCTTATATCCTGCCATAGCTAACTAGACGCATTTACGCCGAGGTTATCATTGATCCGAACACTATGATTGCTATAGATCTTTCGGTATTCAAAAGAAAATAGCAAATCAAGCCAAAAATAGGGATGGGTTACCTTTCGGGAGTGGGGAATCTCTCGGGATTTCACGGTAAGTTGAAAAGCATTTCTGTGGAAGGGATTTTACTTTCTAACTAGTTTCTCCACCTACTTGTTATTTATTAGTTCATCAGCAGGTTTCGGTCACCTATGTTCTGAGCTCGTCACGATCCTTGATGCAAAGAGGGTTTTTCACGACAAAACTTTCTGCCATAAAGTGCTAATTTGCTGCAGATAACTACTCTATCTTTTACGCTAAAAAAAGGAAGCTTCTGTACAATAACGACAAAAACTCGAATACTGTTTTAGATTTAATATTTTTCCGGAAGACTGCTCTGTTTATTCAAGCTAGGGGTCCTGTCCTAGGGATTAGTACTGTTACCCAGCCAAAGATGCTAAGAGAAGAGTTGCAAACAGCCCAAAATACCAGACTTTCGATTGTAAACTCGACTATCAAAAATCAACTCAACTGCATGATGTTTGCTTGATTTAGCTGTTTTATTTATTGTACATTTTGCTACCCATAATTGCATTTCTTTTTCTTCAGAGTTATTAATCTGACTGGCAGTGCTCTTCTCGGCCATTTCTCATGTGAATTTTTTGTTTTATGTACTTTTTTCTTTTCCCAACAATAACTAAGCATATGGCGTTTTTATTTTTTTCTCGTGAAGACAACAGCAAGACGTCACACCGTGTTTAGTAAATATAGGGGAGGCTAAGAAACTGGGCGTCAAAAAAATGACCCACATTTAATGTGGTAACCGAACTAAGCGAGAGGTTAAAAATATCCAAAGCGTCTTTTATTTGGATGGCTTTTAGCACTTTCAATACAAGTGAATGCATGATTGATTTTATGGAGCACATAGAAATGCAGTGCAGTAGGTAAGAAAGTTAATTATTAGCTAATAAAATTAACTATGGGTGCCCAAATGAAGTACAAAGGTAGCGGAATCTGGTAGAAAGGAACTTTTTCGAAGCCTCATGGTAGAAGCTAGCGTTTTGCTTGCAAATTACGGCCTGAATTGAGAAGCACATTCTTTGGAGGCTTTTGAAGTCAAAGCAAGTGCCCATCATAGAGTTTCATGTTTTCTGACAAGAACGACCGAAGTCAAATGTATGCCAGAGGACCAACATGGGGGACTGCGACGTCAAAGTGTGCCAGATTTGGGGAGGGGTGGCTCCCCACTGCAACGCATTCAAACTTTGGTTAGATCAGCAAGCTTCTTGCGTTTCAGCTGGCATAAAATTTTTGTTTTATGAATTGTATCACTTTAGTTCTCATCATGTTCCTTTGGTGACCTGCAAATCAGAAAATGTTTCCGGTCATGGTCGCCACACCTGACCAAGGAAAACGGTGAAAGAGCATCTCTAAACCAGAGATCTTCGACCGGCAGTTCTCCTGTAGAAAAAAAAAAAAAGCCAGATTTTGTTTCATAAATACCTTTTATGGGTTAGTTGACCTCCATTGATAGTGTTTCAGTAAAACCTTGGCAGGCATGTCTCATTTAGGGCAGCTAGTTGCACACCCTTACCAAATACTGAAGGAAACTGAGTGGTAGTTCTAACCCTGGATGTCTTCGCTTCTCCTTTCCACTTCCAGAGGGCATCCATGCTAGGGATGTGGCTCATCCCCCTGTGCGTGTCGGTGCACTCACATTGGTGGCGCTTTGTGTTCATCTGGTCCATCTTCACGCTCTTCACCTGCATCGTGGTCAGCTGGGCCCTACAGAAGCCCATTGCGGGGACCACGCCCCGCTGGGTATACAAGTGGTTTTACGTGGTGCACATGCAGAGGTGACTGCCTTCATCAGCTTTTAGGGTACAGAGTGGCATTGCTGGTATTTAGAGTTTGGTGGAGGCTTGTTGTGGAGGAGGCATCATGCTACTCAGATTTCAGTTGCATGTCGAATGTACTACTGTGGCCTAATTAATCCTCAGTCCTCTGCTGGGCATACCAGATACCCTTTGTCTCTTTTTTGCATCTAGAGCACTTGCTAGAGAAATTATCTGTTAGGTACATTATTCACAACACAACCACATCTTTTGAAAGATGTGGTTGTGTTGTCCCTGTTTTAATTGTTTTATTTTTTCTTCTTCCATGACTTAAACCAACACGCTCTTCTCCCAAGCGTACATTACTCATTAATTTATTATTGTGACCTTTCATTATTGAGCATAAGTGTGGCACTGTGAAAAGAGCATGTTAGTAATAATGGAAATGAAGAATTAAACATTGGAGCATTAGAGAGGACGAAACATCAGATCCGTTTTCCTGTTTGCAGTTTCTACCCTTAATTATTTTTCCTAGTGTATTTTAGTAAGCACCCAATTGTTACTTTTACTGTGATCTGTCACTGAGACTTCATTTTAAGGTCAAGTCACTTGTCTTCTTGACTGCTTGTTTCTTCAGATATTCTTATTTCCCTGGATTGGTTTTAACCTTGTCATAAAGCAAGGAGGCCAGACATTCATAGCTATAAACATTGTAATCTGTGCTTTGATCTTAAAGTAATGCAGTTAGCCATTGAAACCTTTTTTTTTGTGCATCTTGTTTGCTGGATATAACATTTCTTTCCCTCAATGCCGAGGAAGACTGGCCATCCCTAACAAAACATTTGCCAGGCATTCCATTCCACCCATGGATATGAGGAGGGCCTCTTCGGTCCATTTCGGAGCCACTTATATGGTATATAAAAATTGTGGTAAATCTGATAACTTTACTTCAACTTGGTCTAAGAACATGGGGTTGGGGCATACATTCTTAGCAGACTCGAGGGTTGTTCCTTACCTCAGGCACAGCATTTTCTTTTGACCTTGAGATGTTTCCTGATCCCATGGTGACAGGAATTTGTGACAGGACATGATATTTTTGTAAGATAATACAGGTTTGAGCTACAGCCTTCGTCTACTAACTACAACAGTAAATAAACTCATTATTAACCTACCGTAATATCCCGAGTCATCGCCCATCCCCGAGCCATCGCCCACCCCATTTTTTGGGCCAATATCGATTTCCGAAAAAACACCCAGTCATCGCCCACCCCTTCAAATACCCCAGCGCAGACTCTGCGATCCGCGAACACTCATCCTACCCGAATGACGCGGCCGCGGACCTTACAGTTGAAGGACGTCCGTGACAAAGTAAAACGAAGGAGGGAAAGACACTTCTTTTTGTTTACGCATTTCCTCCGTGAGCGACCCCAAAGTGGTCGTGTATCCGCGCGAAAAGAAAACGATGGAGATAACAAAATAAGAGTTTGTTAATGTAACCGCGGAGTGTTAGGTCAAAGTCTGTCTCCGCCAAAGGTCACCGCGAACCCGCTCCTTCTTCCCGCCCGTCGCGACCGCGGTTGTGCAATATTTTAGGCAAAGCCAACGCGTAAATAAAGCTTGGCTGGAACGCCCTACGCAGACGTTTGCAGAGCGTCCCAACCGTGCATTGATAGCCCGCCGTGCACGGACGCGCGTATGTACGCACCAAACAAGAAAGTTGCGCAAGAGCTTGCAATTGACAAGGCGCCCGACTTGGCCCGACGCCAAAGTATTTGCCAACGCGACCGCCGGCTTTCCCGCTTTCCCAGCATTGCTCTTGGTCGCTTCTTTGGTCCGCTCGCTCGCTCGTTGCGCCTGGTGGGTTTTTCTATTTTCTTGTAGACTTTTCTTTTTTTTTTTTTACTAACTAGGAGAACATAGTGGTGACATTCTTTCACGGAACAAACGTTCGCGCTATATGCAGATCGGCGGTGTTTCTAGCGCGTATGCAAGCAACGGACTTCGCTATAGTAAAATATTCTTTCGTGAGCATTTTTTTCTATAAAACAATGAAACTAAATCGAGTTTTGAGTTTGATGTATCTCTTGTGCATCAGCGCTAAATACGCAGAGAAAAATAGGCGTTTTGTTCCGCTTTTTTTCAAGTGTTTGTGCTCACCCACCGAGACATGGCCCACCCCACTTTTTTTAATGAATTTCAGACGGTAGGGGGGTGGGCGATGACTCGGGATATTACGGTAGTGTTATTATTATCCTCCCAGTAAAAGTAGCATAAGTGAAATTTTGCTTCCTGTTTTTGATGTTTGCAGCTATGCACTGGGTGTTGCGGGCTACCTGGTGGTGATGCTGACACTTCTGGGGGTCAACTTGATGTTCCGAGCCAAGCCGCAGACATGGATGGACATTGGCCTGTTGTTGCTCTTCTATGGGCTTTACTACGGCCTGCTGGGGCGTGACATCTCCGAGATCATCACAGACCGCATGGCGTGCACCATTGGGGTACCAATCTATCTTGGTTATCGAAGCGTAGAAGGCTTTTTACGGAACCCACTAACCCGAGACGTTTGTTCGCCCATGTAACCAGTGTTTTTCAGCTTGACTGGCCATGTATCTGGAATGCTTGGAAGTTGTGTTGTTCTGTATGTGAACCAACCTCTGTTGAATTACAGTGACTGATTTTGTTTTCTTTCTCTGTTTCTGCGGTTAACAGTATTACACGCCGACAGGTGTCCCAGTGAGACATTTGGAGCCCAACGTGTGTGCGGTTTGTGGCAACAAGATCCTTGTCATGGACAATGCAGAAGCCATTGTAGAGGAGACCTACAAGCTCCCCTGTGGGCATCTGTATCCCTTACTCTGCCAGCTTCTTTGGTGTTAAAGAAACAGCAAAGGGATTTCCAAAGCTTACAGCATCCCAAAGAAAACTGCGAAGATCAGTGACTTTACATATCAGCTATACTCCATTCACCTGTAAGCTGTTAGTGTGGTGGGAGCCATGCGCTTGCTGGACCAATCAACCACCTGCCTTTCATCACGTGACTCTGCTTTTTGCACATAGGTATTGGCGGGAACATGATCATGTGTTGAAAGATAGATGTGTGACTGTTCCAACAGGCACATAGTCTCCATCACACTCTCAACTTGGGGGTGAAAGGAGCATAGTAGCTTAGATTGATTATGTCTGTTACTGCTTAGGTTTCCACGGGTCGTTTCATTGGAATTCGACCAAAATTGTCGGGGGAACCTTCAGGATTTTCATAAAAAAAATAAATGTGATGGCTCAAATCCTTTGATGAATGAAACTATGCTTTAAAACAACCAGAACTCAACTGTTTATAGAAAAAATTATAAAGTGCCCCCTTGCAAAATGCATCAATGACTCTGATCAGACCTTTTTCCAAATTTGCTTGTTGTTTACCAACTGTTGAGTTCTTTCACACTGCTAATATTTTTTCACCGTTTAAAAAAAGATCATGGGCTATTTTTATAGACAGCTTATTTTCAACTTTTGTCAATATTTGTTTATGGGTGGACACTGGCAAGAGATTTAACTTACATACTCAAGTGATTGGAATGAAATTTGCAGAGTGGATTTAACATCAGATGTATGTGTATTGTGCAAACTCTCAGCGCTGTAGTACAATTTTACATACTTGCATAAGATGATGTGTCACTCTTTGTTAAGAAATCTATGATATGCAAATGAAGCTGTTAAGCACCATTTTTACTGCTTGAATATAAAGGGGGGGGGGATGTGGGACTTTGGGCTATATAGTTTTTATAACTCAGATGTAAATATTTCAGGAAGAGTTCTTATCTCAAAATATGAGATTCACATCTGTCCTATGTCAATTTTTTTAAACATGGTTTTTTCTCAATGAGGAATTCAACTTAAAGCAAAATAAAGTAGATAACCCGATTCCGCAGTAAATTTCAGTTCAGAAACATCTTGATTGGGTTATCAGAATACTTTTACCTTCAAACAAAAGATTCCTTCGTATGAAATTTGCAGCAAAAAGTCGAACTGAGAAAAGTGCATTCAAACATTAAACTCCTTTATTTTGTTACTGCCTCACAATGTGTTGAAAATATTTTATATCAATGTAACTATTTGGTGTTTGGTTACTAAATGTAGTGTAAGGGTGTATAATTAGTTTCTAAAACCGAAAACTTTAAATTTAAAAAATGAATTTAAAAGAAAAATTTGTAATTCAGCCTTGTGTCTTCCCTTAAAAAATTACAAACTTGCCACCTTGAGCAAGGTCCTGTCCTCTCCCTTCGAGCACTCTTTTTCATCGTTGCTACCTTGAGCAATTTTGCCTCGAATTCAGATTGTTGTGGAAATTGAACCGTTAGGAACTATGATGTGAAACATGAAATAACAATCAGTGTGTAGCTTTAAACATAAGCTATCTGATGATATATTGTTTGTGTAGGTGAGTTTTATGAAAGTAATTATATCTTGTTCCAAGCTTGTTAAAAATCTAGAATTTGAGATTTTTGAAGAGTCATTTTTTTATTTTATTTTGAATTTTTATTTTGATTGCATGTGACATTAATATTCATCGGGTATAAATATTGGAACGGTGGTTTGATGTTTTATTTTTGGGACCAGTTAAATAAGCCTCTTTTTTGCTCTAAACTTGTAAAAAGCCTAAAATTTAGTTATTTAAGGTCTATCTAAAAAAAAAAAAAATTACTAACTTTTGTTTAGTGAGGACACTTTCGTCCTCATTAGTCATGCTGAGTTGAACTGTGGTATCTTACTGAACAAAAGGGTTAAAAAGCATGAACAAACGAGGACAATAAAGAAACACGGACGACAGGACAGGCGCTTTACTCTCAACTGGTTTTTATTAACACCATTGTCACCTATATATACACATTGCTCAAACCACATCGGATTCAATCGCCACAATCGGAGCCAACCTTTTAGAAACACCATCTCACTCTGAAGCAAATACAAAGATGGAGCGCTGACGCAATTGTTTTCTTTTTTCTTTTTTTTTTTATTATGTAGAATGCTTCTATAATCTCTCTCCATTTTTTCCTTTGCCTTTCTTAAAAACTTTGTGCCAGTCAACTTTGTGCCACATGCCTACAATGGTCAGCGAGATGGCCTCCCGCGTTGTTGCACACACACAAATTATGTTCACGTGCTCTATCATTGAAGCAGCGCGCAGTCTGCCCAATGTAGACTCTGCCACAACTAAACGGAATCTCGTACACCGCATTAGTGACGCATGCAGTATACTGCACCGCATGTTTCTTGGAGCACGGTGCCTTTTTCTGCCTTGTCAACATCGGACATATCCTGGCAAGTTTACACGGTGCCGAAAAAACCACGTTAATGTTGTATCTACCAGCTACCTTTTTAGGTTATGAGACAGTATGCATGAACGGAATGACTTGCACTCGTTTCCTTTCCTTTCTTTACTTGCCTCGCTGCCTTTTTTACTTCTTTTTAGCTTGTGAAGAAGGCTCTCACAACAACTAGAGATCAGATTAAGGGGGTACCCCGCGTCTGTTAACCTTTTTGATTGTCGTTCAAAACTGATTTTCATCTGGTGATTGCAACTTTTTTCCAGAGCCGCACTTAGACATGTCAAGGCTATACCCCTCTTTGCCAGTTTAGAGTGAGCACTTTCAAACAAAACCAGGCTTTCCTTAATGTGTGGACAATACTGCCAACAGACATGTTCTTCAGAAAAAAAGGATCAAAATGTCTAAAAACTGAATGCAGTTATTCACAGGCAATTCCCAGGTAAAATTAAGTGGTATCTTGTTTGAGGTGTAGATGAAATGAGAAAAACTGTCAATCACACTTTCGTGCTAACAGTGTCACGCTGTGTATGCCAGTGTTCAATTATGTGCTTGCCCTTGACCCTTCTCGATCTGACGGCAAGATTCCACGAATTCTGCATCCGAGGGTGGTGCATTGTGGGCAAGAAGCAGACGTGCCCTTACTGCAAAGAGAAGGTGGATCTCAAAAGGATCTTCTGCAATCCGTATCCTTTTCCTTTCGGCATGTTCAGTGTTATAGATCTCAAATTGACTTAAACAATCCATTGTGACAGCTGTACATAACCAGTGGTTTTGGCAACCTGGGATATCACTAGGGTTCCAGGTTTTCGGAGTTTATTTTTCATCATATTCGGATTGTGTTTTTCTGAGTATATTTTTTGACAAAAATGCGGAGCTTCTCGCAGTTTATTTTTGTTTGATTCCGAATTCTTTTAAATTCGAACTTTAATTTTGTAGTGTTTCTTATTAAAAATAAATAAATTACATCCAAGTGTAAAAACATATGCTGGACAACAAAAAAGGCGATTGTATCAGTTAATATTTTCTTCAGAATTGTATTTGACGTTAGTGGCATTACTACTGGCAATACTAAATTGTCCTGCGACAAATGTTGCACACAAGTGTTGCGTCGATAAATGTTGATACCTTAACATCAATAAACTCCTGGGCCTGTTTTCTCGAAGCGATGGTAAACCCATTTTGGTAAACCACGGTGCCTAGGAAGGAAAAAGTACCTAGGTACTGTAATAAAGGGCTGGATATAGAACAACAATAATTATTTTTGATTGGGCAGTAAGATGCGCCATTTATCGGTGAAACAAAACGGTCATTTTGTTTATCCTCTTTTTCCCCTGGTTGTTATCGATCTAGTATGGTATTTTAAGTAAAAAGATAGTAATGTTGTACTTGAAGACCAATTTATTTGCTTCATATGGTACGAAGACATTTTAGCTACTATGCGAGAGTTTGCCGGCGAATATTCGAAAATCTAAGAAACATTTCCTTCAATATGTTTCGCCATAAACAACGCATAACTTTCCCGTGGGCCTTCCAGTCTGCCAAAGCTGGTGCTGTAGTCTCGTTTTTGTTCCTTGCGACGCACGTTTCTGCAATTCCTGCTGATCTCAACTGTTTGCCCCCTTTTCCTTTTGCCCAACCGATCCACCTGTGACGAGGAGGTAAGCTTCTCGTCACCGTTGAATTGGTGGCCACCGGGGATATGTAGAAACCTCGATGCTGTCGGCATACTGTCGGCGCACTGCGAACAAAAAAACAGTACAATGTCCCAGCTGTTCACCCGGAATGAAGACTATTGAGGATAACCCCCTTCCTTAACAAAGTAATCGCTGCTCACGAGTTGGCGTGCATAGTGTAACAAACAAACTACTCGTTCGCAAAACATTTTTTTACTCACCGTAAAAACACTTGCAAGGCTTATGTACCATCATATGTCTTGGATCCCGGACTGCTGAAGAGTGATGTGTTCGCGGAATGTGCCGTCAGTTAGTTTAGCAGTCCCTCTGAACTACCGCTTTGCTTGACGTGCTAATAGGTTGATGGTGCGTCATTAATATAACAGCCGGATCGAAATTAATGTTCAGCAGAACCAAGAAGAACCTTTAGCCCTCATTAAGCGACGTTGCGGCCATTTTGCTTGTAGGTACTGCTCCTTCCTCGGCGCCCCTGCTCTCCCAGTCACGTGACCTAGAATTCCCTCTTCTAGGGACAATAGTTAACTTTAACCCACGGTTCGCGTTCGAGAAAACGGGCCCTGGAGGTAGTCGCTGGGAAGCTTGTATTCATTCCATAATATTCCATCAACCTACCGCACGGCTGCACAAGGTGGAGTGGTTAAGGATGTAATAGAGAAGTTTCAACTGTCCCTCTTCCCCACTTTATGCAATCTTTATGGTACATAGCTTTCACTGTTACAAAAACACGACCTCTCCTTTCTCTAAAGTACAAATAGTATGAACCAAACTGGAAACATGAACAGTGACTTTTGTCATGACCCGAAAGTCCAGTGACCTGTTGACCTGAGCGAAATTTGAAACAAAAGTGTGGTGGCAATTTCCCAGGACCATTGACTCTACGCGCTGATCAAACCATTAATTTAAAATACTTTTGTGTGTGTGTGCGGAAGGGGGGTGGGGGGGAGGAATGGGCACATCGAAATTTGGGGTTTATCGGATAAATCCAAATTTACCAAATATTTACCGGCGGGTGTTTTTCGTATTTATCCGAAAACATGGAACCCTAGATATCACAGATATGGTTGATATGATGCGAGCACCCACTGTCTGAGATACGTTTATCACATATCTGTTGCCATGCGAGTAAATGTACGTACAGAATGTTCTAAGGTCCTTTCATTTTCAAAGCATCAACAAATAGTGTAGCGGGTGCTGTTGTTTCAGTTTTGCGAATCTTAGCTGTCGGACCAACTGCACCGCTTTCGCTTCAGAGGTACGGGCATACGAGAAACCAGCTTCTGGCAGTTGTGGTTTGCCAATACTGACTTGGCGCTATTACTGCAGTTCGCTGCTCTTTCGACAAGACAAAAGCACCCACAAGCCACCATAGTAAGCATTCTGTGTGTATGCTTACTATGGTGGCAGTATTGTCATGAATGTCCACAGAGTGTTGCATGTGTTTCAGATGATTGGCAACGCATTCATATTGTTCGTATCTGCAATGACAGCCTATTTATTTAAATGGTACAGAGAAAGGCAAAGGCATGCCTTGAGGAATTTTAGAAAGTGTTTTTGATTGCGGAGGGAATTATCACTAACGTAGTTGCTTATTGTTTGCTTCCAAACCTAGTAAGTTATATTGTGTATGATTATGTGTTGGACATGTTTCTTGCAGGCGAAAGTTCTAAGCTGCATAGGTTTTATCCTTTTTAGATTTATACAGGCTGTTTTATTTTTTTTTTTTCAACTGCAACTAAATTTTTGATAAAGGAGGGAAGCGTTATATGAATGCGGTTTTCACTGCGTGTTTGTATGGCTTGGAGGACATTAGACGGGAATATAACCATCCTTATTATCAGACTAATTAACTAGCATTAATTAATTAACTTTTTAATTACTGTAATTAGGATATATGTTCATATTACAAACTTTGAGGCAGTAGAATTCGCTTAACTAGCCCGTGTTCCAAGATCTCTGCCCCTGAATTGTCTACTTAATCCAACTTTTTGTCCACTCAATTCGGCAAACCTGTGAAAGTGGGTACTATAGTTGAACTTAGCTACATTAGCCAGATAAAAGTGCAAGATTCGGGGGCTAAGCTTGCGCAACACAAGCTGGGTACACAAATTCTACAAAATGGGATATTCTTGGCGTACGGCTGCCCCGAAGTTTGTAATATAAGCATATATTCTTATTACAATAATTAAAAAGCTAATTAGCGGATTTTAGTTAATTCATCTGATAGCAGTGAAGGTTATATTTTCATTTTATGTCTGCCGAGCCATATAAACGCGCAGTGAAAACCGCATTCATATCAATTTTCTCCCTTTATTTAAAACTTTGGTGCAGCTAAAAAAAACACCTGATAGATACTAATTTTGAGATTTCAAGATCTTTCCTTTTATTTGGCCGCTGTTTTGCAGTGTAATGAATGGTTAAGAATTCAGTGTGCCTGCTCCCAACGAATAACGGTATTTGGTTAGTGTTTCACAAACAACTGCCAGACTCCTTAACTGCTCTCTTTTTCACTTCCCCACAATCTCCAGCTGGGAAAAGCCCCACATCCTGTACGGAAACTTCCTGGACTTTATCCGTTACCTGGTGGTGTGGCAGCCTATGATCATCATGTGTGTGCAGTTTGTGAATCACATGCTGGGTTTGGAGTGATGCTGGATGCTTTGCATACCAACTGTTTTAAACTCATCCTTCCTGTGCAGGACAGTTGCTTTTTGTATAGAGAGAGATGTTGCAAGTTTGTTGGGGACCAGCGTTTTATTAAAGTGGGCCGTCAGACGAGTTGTTTGGTTTTGCCTGTGCGTAGTCGCCGATGGATTAAGAAACGCAGTGAGTCTCGAGTCCCGGGCATCTTATCGCTCTGCAACCAGTAAAATTGCAGCATTAATCAATAAGAATACCGGAGAACCAATCGCGAAGAATGAAGCGCATAGAGAGGGTGTCTAGCGACCGGGAAAATCGGGAAAATTAGGAATTGTCAGGGAAATTTTAATTACCGGGAAAAATCGGGGAATTGTCAAAAAGCCAGCCCTGTCAGGGAAAATGAGCCGGAAACGCCATCAAGTGCCCTGAGCAAAGACCTGACGACTTGGGGGCAGAGAAATAGGCAATCAATTCTGCTTAGAGCGGAGCGTGGGCTCTGCTCACCCGACGTAGTGTATGCTACCCGATGCAAAGGGTAGAGCCGACAAATCAAGCCCAAGCCTCAGATTGGATTGAATTTGATTGAGGGCGCGACACTAGGCTAGATTCAGTTAGAGCTACTAGATATAGTAACAAATGGGAAAGTCGCACACCCCAATTTAATCCAAGCCTTAAGCTGAAGGTGTGCATGTGGCGGCCATGCTACAATTCGGTTATTGACGTGTGTGGTTGAGTGTCGTGTTTTCATAGTGTTTCCGGGATTGGCCTCTTCGCTGATGATGTCGGCGGCAAGAAAGTGCTCTCCTAATCCAGACTGGACAAACCAGAATATTTCGGAATATGAGAGTTGGATTAAGCCTGTGCAAAATGATCCTCACAGTGCTCAATGCTCAATGCCTCTTGTGTTGGAATGATACACCCACTCATGTTTACAAACAAACCGGAGCGCCCCTAGCGGACGCCACCGGCGCCGCGCATGCGCGATGGGGGTGTGGGCAAGAAGCTCGCCGTCGCCCATAAACAAGCCATTGGAATGCGATGTTCGCGTCGGTGCGAGTCCCCCTGCCCTTTTTCGCGTTCGAATTGTTGATTCTACGTCTTCCTGGCGATGTCTATCTTGAGCGGCGTCAGCGAAATTACCGAGGCTCGTTACGCCGCAAAACTTCTCGTGAATAATGTGACATGTGGCTATTCATTCCGTGTGGACGCTATGAGCGCTAAAGCCTGATTCGCATGATGCGATTTCGCTCGCAATTTTCATTCGCTACGCCGCTCGGGCTGCAAAAGCGTGAACCGTAGCTGAGATAGTCGACTTCGATACTGAAAATCGCAAGCAGAATTGGACCAAGTGAATTAGGGAAAACAAGTCGGTGATGGTCACTGGTAACAATGATCAACATCTTTTTGTATCTACTGTTTACATCGAGCCTGCTTACCAATTTTCAAATTTAAAGGGATACTTCAACGAAATTTGAAATATTCCCGTCGTGTTAAAAAATAGGTTGAATATAATCCACAATATCCGTAAATGACAATCGCACGTTTGTATTTTGAGCCTAGTGGCTGTATTCTTTGTTATAAACGGCCCACTCTGGCGAGCGCTCGGAGAAGGCCCAGCGGAGACCACGTGACATCCAACGCAATCGTGACGTAGGTCGTCTCAGGACGAGCAAAGCTATGGCGAGGCTGACGTCGAGAGGATGGCCTAGTCGTTCCAGCCACCGAAGCGGCTGCTTTTGTACGAATTTTGAGTGACGGGTTAATCTTCTGTAATCTTGTAGGGGGACAATAGCGACTTCTGCGACACACCAAAGGCATTCTTGGGAAGAGGGGAGTTCCTCCTGCCCCCCTTCTCTCGTCGTGGCCGGAGGCGAGACAACCTCCGTCACTAGCTGTCCTAGACGGGCATACAAGCGAGGCGTTAGCGACATCCAACAGGTGCTCTTTGCTAATCGTTTAATTCGTTTAAAATTCCTTTTCGTGACTTTTTTAACAAGATATTGGTATGTTCGATGTGATGCTGCTCCTTTGAACACATATAGATAAAAAAATGATGAGGCCTGCATTTACTTCTTACCGCAAGTACCGGGCCAACATTTGATCTAAGGGCCAAACAGGACACTACAAAACGCACGACTCCGACAAATCGTGAAAATTGAAGCGGACGTTTCTATTTTCACGTTTTGTCGGAGTCGTGAAAATTTTTGGAGGAGTCGTGAAAATTTTCACGATCACGGCTTCCCTCCTCGCCTCCACTTTTCTCTGATGTCACACGCCACCTGCATCTGGCTCACCTCGCCAACGCCCTCGCGTACTGCCGTCACCTCGGCTCGAAGGCCAATGAGGTCCGGTTTCAGGTGGATTTGGGACATGCCTGCGTCGAGGGGTGCGTTTCGCCCGCCTCGGATCAGCTTTCTTTGTCGAGATTCACTTTCGTCGTGATGGCGTCCGACGCGGTTCCGTATTGTGAGCGGAGGCCTTGAGCGATTGACCGACAGCCAACAAAGCGTGTGAGTAGAGCTCCGGACCCACGTGATGAGCAGAGCAAGGCCGCCGTGGAGGAAGCGAGGGGGACATTTGTCGGAGGGAAGTTTCCCCCCGGGAGGCTTTGACGGAGGGGGGGGCGCTGCAATCGCCTATGAAGGAAGCCGCATCTACGTCGAGCTCTGTGTTTTTGGATCGAAAACTCCGGCGTAGTCACCCTTACGACACCGAAGACGTCAGGAAGAACGGTAAAGACCCTCCGGACTCACGTAAGCTCAAGTCGTGCTCCGGCGGATCGGCCTTTTCTACCTCCGAGGGGGGTTCTGAATCCGGTCTGGAGAGTAGGCCTAGCGTGGCCGATGTGAATGTTGCGGCGGCAGGACCCGGTGCCGCCGGGAACTTTAGCGCCAACGACACCGTCTATCCCGCCATGGAGGTATCGCAAGCCGATGCGGATGAGTCAGCTGCAGCTGGCTCTACGTTAACGCCAAATGGTTATGCCGCGCCGACGGGCACCGGGTCCCCAGCACAGCGACACTCGCCGCCGCTGCAGGTCTACCGCACACCGTCGCCGGCCTTATCCTACCGAGTCAACGTCCGACCACAAGAGCCGTTCGACATGACACAGGTGCCGGGTAAGGTGCTGCAAACGGTTGCTAATCAAGGCTTACAAACAACGGGATATCGGGGCTACGAAGTGCACCGACCGTCGAACTCCATCACGCTGCATGTCGCAACGCTGGAGGACGCTGTACGGATGTGCCAACTCTCGGCGCTGCCACTGTCCGAGAAAAAGCAGCTCCCGGTACAAGCATATCTGGCATCGGGCCCTGATATTACAAGATGTGTGGTCTATCGCCTACACCCAGAAGACCCAAGTGAGAACATCTTATCGGATCTTCACTGCTCGTCCCACAAAGTCATAGCTGCGCGCCGTCTGGGCAAGCGAGACACGTACCTGCTCATGCTACAGGGCCCCCAGGACATTCCGGACATTGTTTACTACTGTGGGGGTATTTTCCACCCCCGGCCCTATCGGCCGAAGGCGATCGTATGCTACAAGTGCTGCCAATTAGGGCATATGCAGACTTACTGCCCACAGGCCAAACCCAACACAGACCTAGTCACACAGGACGGTCAACCCCGTTATCAATGTGGTCTATGTAAAACAGATGACCATCATATCACGTCTCCCAACTGCCCCCGCAAGCGACAAGCGACACTGCGCTCCCGCCAACAAAACCGGCTGCTGGATAGGCAGTTGCCGACGAAGAATAGGTTTCTGCCCTTACTGGATGTTGATCCGGGAGATGCCGACGAAGGGGGGGACTTCCCAACGCTGTCCTACGCAAATGCGGTCGTGAAATCCAAACGGCAGTCACAACGCCGGATGCAGAGAGCCCCCGCTCAGGAAACGTCGGCTACGGAGATTGATCAACAAATTGAGCGCCTTACACGGGACATCGCCAGAAGTCAGGAGCTCCTACAACAACTACAGGCCAGGCGACAACAACTACGGATAGCCCCAGCTCGACCTCGGGAGAGCCAGGAACACGACTTCAGTGCTGACGACGACACTCAGGATGTCCAAATGACAACCCACCAGCTTCTCATGGCCATATACCAACACCTGAAAGGCTCCCCACGACGTTGTGGAGTAAAATCGCCATAGGTACTGTGCTGCAGTGGAACTGCAGAGGCCTCGCTGCCAGGCGCAACGAGCTTCTCTTTCGTATGCAGTAGGGCATCATCAAGCCCTGGGCATTCCTCCTCCAAGAAACACACGGTCTGCCCAACCTCTATCAATTCACGGGGTATCACTGTCCCTCCATTATTGACAGGCGCTTTGGAATAGACGACACTGCTCCTGGCAAGGCGGCGATTTACGTCCGTACTGATATTCCACAAGAGCAGATTGATACGTCACAGTGGTGCACACAACGACAGGAGGTGGTAGCCGTCCTTGTCCGACGCAAACAAACTAAGGTGATCTTGGTGTCAGTGTACGGAAAACCCGGGAGTGCACGGCTTAACTTCGGCTGGATCCAGCATCTCTGTCGGCGATACCTACATGTGCCAGTTCTGGTGGGTGGCGACTTCAATGCCCCGCACACAAGCTGGGGTTACGCCAACGACTCTGGTCGAGGCCGACAGGTGTACAGCCGCTTCAGGGACTCGTCTTACGTCCTGCTGAACGAGGCCCACGTCTCCACTCGTCCGCTCACGGCTCCTAATACACCGGATCTTACATGGTGGCAGGGACATGGCCTTCCCAGATGGACAGCGGAACCGGACTGTTGGGGCAGTGATCACACGCCTATTCACATTCACCTATCCCATCATCTAGTCAAGAAACAGCGCCGTATGACTAAAGTGATTAACTGGACGGAGCTTCGAACCTCTACCACCTTAGAAGGTGCCACGGCGGACTCCATTATGTTGGAACTTAAACAGGTTGTGCATAAGCATACCACCGAACAAACAGTGAATCAAGATCAGCCAAATCCGGATCTTCACCTCATTCGTCTCTGGGACCAACGTAAGCAGGCGGAACTCCAAGCCCGCTCATTTCCTCACAACGAGCAGCTTCAGTGGGAGGTGAATCGCTTAGCTGCTGAAGCAAAAAAGTATGAGACGCAACTGAGCGGACAACG